TGCTCCCCCTCGGGCCTCCAGACGGGGACGCCCTCGGGCCACAGTCGACGAGCGCTGCGCTGGCAGAGGTCGCCAGCGGCGACTGGCCCTCCACGGCGCGCAGGCCCCCCCGCGCAAGGCCGCGCGCGCGCGCGCGCCCCGCCCCCCTCCGCGCGGCCTCGGCCCGCGCCGTCGGCCCGCGTGCGGGGGGCCGCCGCGCAGGGGCGGGCCGCGCCGTCCTGTGGGAGGCCCGCGCCTCCACGGCGCGCCTCCGTCGCCCTCCGCCGCCCTCCGCCGGCGCCGCCGCCCGCCGCCCGTGCTCGTGCGCGGGCCCGCGCCGCAGCAGGCGGGCCTCGCCTCGCCGGATTCCCACTTCGAGGGGGCGGCCCCGCCGCCCCCGGGCGGCCGAGGAGGCAGGGGGAGCGGTCGCAGGATGGCTGGTTTGGACGCTTGCCCTCGTCTCTCGCTCTCTTGTCCGCTTGCCCTCCTCTCGTCGCCTTCGGCGGAGCGTGTCCCTCTTCTAGCCCCACCACCTTCGATAAGTGCGCGCTCGGAGGACCAGCCGCGGGCGCGAAGCTGCACTGAGTTAGCGGCGCCCAGCCCATGCCACAAGCAGTCGCTCCTGAACTAGAAGAGCGATCGGAGTGGGGGGCCACGAGCACAGTCCGAGAGGCGCCAATGTCGACCACGAGAGGCTGGCCTCACCCACAAGGTCAGCCACTGTCACAGTCAGACGCTCGTTGTCGACGTGCAGTTTGGAGGTGACGACGACGAAAGAGCCCACTGCCCCCTAACCGCTCCGACAGCAATTGCGACGACGGTGAAGAGCAAGGATGTCAGCAGCGAGCGGCACTCTGCTGCGGCTCCGCCGCCGCTGACGACGAATGAACCAAGAACGGCGCGCATCCAAACAAGCAGATTTCCACATTGCGCTGCTCCTCCTCCTCCCCCCTCCTCCTCCGGCCCCTCCTCCCCCTCCTCCTCCTCCTCCTTCTCCTCCTCCTTCTCCTCTACCGCTTCTTCCTTCAGGACCAGCACATATGCCAAGACGACGGAAAAGGACAGCTGGAAACAGTGCTGAACTGGCAGGCTCACTGTCTCACGATGCTCGTCACATCTTCCTCATCGCTCAAGTCCACGTCGAAGCCGTGCTTGAGCGTGTACATGCGCTTCACGGTCGCAACCATCCCCTCCAAAATGGCCATCCGGCAGTCGCCAATCCACTGCTCGTCGCCATCCTGAGCTCCCAGTCCAATGGCGTCTTCTGAATCCGTGGGCAAACTCCCGTCTTCGTCGGCTCACTCTTCGTTCTCCTCATCCCCTGCGTGGAGCGCGCTCCAGGTACTTCACGCCCCACTGCTTGGAGCTCGCCGTGAGGACAGCGAGCAGCCTCACGCGGTCGAGGCATAGGCGAAGGCGAACGATTTGGCCAGAGCCGGCCCCAGCACGCCGAGCACTGATGCGTAGCCGAGCCTCGGAACGGGACGCGCGATCACCTCGGGCCACATCGCTTCCAGCAGTACAAACATGCACTCTGGCAGCACGATCGCCCCCAGCAGCACGTTCGGGTCTAGCAGCGCGGCCGTCTCCAGTGCGATCGGGCTCCCCATTCTGAAGTGGAGGATCAGGGATTCGTGCGCCCCCATGCGCTTCCAGAGTCGGAACAACATCAGCTTCGCAAAGCACCTGCTCCTCAGCGCCTCGAGGTTCGCTTCCCAAAACATCAATTGCAGCAGCATTTCCAGTCAGCTTCCTGTTATCCATGCCCTCGGTCTCCTTCTTGACCCTCATGCCCTCGGACGCCTCCTTGCTCACCATGTCCTCTGACTTTTCCGCCTCGTACGTATGATCGGGATCCGTGCCGCGAGATGCACCAGGAACGTGGTCACCGTCACCAGGCAGGAGCCCGAAGACAAGGCCCATGAGGAACGTGGGCACCCGGAACGTGGTCACCATCGCCAGGGGCGTGGTCACCATCGCCAGGAGCGTGGGCACCATCACCAGGAACGTGGACACCGGGAGCGTGGTCGCCGTCACCATCACCGGGAAGACAATCACTCACCTCATCGACGCCTCAGACGGATGATCGCCACTTGCGAAGCCTGGACCGCCCACCGTGCCCTCGATCAGCACGCCGAGGGGACTGGTCACCCATGGGGTGCCGTTCTCTCGGCCACCTCGAAGTTCTCATCGGGTCTCGCGGCGTCGACCCTCCAGCAGCCAGGTGGCACGAGGCCGGGTGGCACATGGGGGCAACCGCGGTTTTCCCTGTGGAAGGAAGTCGCGGATAGCTGCTCGCCTCGTGCGAAGACGTCGCCGCACTGAAGAGGTACCGTCGGGCCCCTGAAGAAGGAACCCTTTTCGTTGGGAAGGGGCTCCGTGTTCCTTAATTGTTTCACAGCTTGCCTCAAGTTTTCCTTCTGTTTTCGATGGAAGATCGAAGTTCAACCTATGGTAAAAAGGGGCATCGTTCCTTATGTGGAGTTCCTTAGGTCAACGCCCCGACTGTACAGGCAGAACATGACGGGAGTAAGCCTGCCTCGGTCGCCATGGCAGCGGCGTCCAAGGAATACGAAGCCGAAACAGAAGAAACCAAGCCAGCCGCACCTGCGGCCGCGGGCGCACGCCTCGTTGACTCCCAACGTCGCGGGGTAGCCCGACGGCGCGGCGCCGCGCCGCGCGCGCCCCCGCCGCGGACGCCCCCCCCCCCCCGCACACGAGAGGTCAGGGCTTGAGCCAAAATGGCTTGGAGGGGGAAGATGACGAGGAGGAAGAGGAGGAGGAGCAGGAGGAGGAAGAGGAGGATTAGGAGGAGGAGGAGGTCAAGGAGGAGGAGGAGGAAGAGGAGGAAGAGGAGGAAGAGGAGGAAGAGGAAAAGGAGGAGGGAGAATAGGAAGAGGAGGAAGAGGAGGAGGAGGAGGAGGAGGAGGACCGTGTTAACTCAAGACTCATCTGCGATTTTGGAATATGCCCTCCCTCCGAGCTCCCTCTTCATAGACCCCCCAAAGGATTCATTTCCACTGAGGGAAGTGCCCCGTTGGGGGAGAACCGCCTGACGATCCTGAAGCGCGTCATAGCACCATTCTCAGGACTTAAACACCACGAGTCAACCTGACTGTTGCGTCTGGGCGATCCAGAATCGCACAAGGACGCCATCCCTGGGAGTTCAACACCGCGAATCAACATAATTGTTGCGCCCTGGCACTCCTGAACCATTCCAGAACACCGTTTCTGATTCGATAACCAAGAGAACCAGTGGAACTCTTGCATGGTATTAACACGAGTGTGCGCGGCGGTAAAACGGGACCAGTATTTTGACCGCCCTGAATCCGTGAAGCTCCTGCACATAACAAGAACAACGAATGTGCGCGGCGCTAGGGTGAGAAGCGAGAACAGCGTTTTGAAAAGGAACCGCCCTCAATCCGTGAAGCTCCTGCACGTTTTTATTGCGAATGTGCGCGGCGTTCAGGCGAGAGCCACGGTTTGAGAAGGAACCGCCCTCAATTCGTGAAGTTTTTGCAACGTTTTAGCACGAATGTTCGCGGCGCTGAGGCGATATCCACATTTTGGAAACGACCCGCCCTCAATCCGTGACCCTCTTGCAATTTTGTTAAACAAACGAGTGTTCGAGGCGCTAGGGCGAGAGCAACATTTTGGATGCGACCTGCCCTCCATCTGCGAGACTGTCGCCAGTTTTTCAGCTTGAAGCTCATACATGGCAAAGAAGTCTCAGGCGAAACGCCCGGCCCGCCCTTCCGACTGGCCTTCGGGTGCGACGGGGAGGAATTATTCATAAAGAAACGGAAAGGAGGAGGAGAAGGAGGAGGAGGAAGAGGAGGATTAGGAGAAGGAAGAATAGGAGGAGGAGGAATATGATGAATGATGATGATGATGATGATGATGATGATGATGATGATGATGATGATGATGATGATGATGATGATGATGATGATGATGATGATGATGCTGCTGCTGCTGCTGCTGCTGCTGCTGCTCGCTGCTGCTGCTGCTGCTGATGAGGAGGAGGGGAGGAGGAGGAGGAGGAGGAGGAGGAGGATGATGCTGATGATGATGATGATGATGATGATGATGATGATGATGATGATGATGATGATGATGCGATGATGATGATGATGATGATGATGATGATGATGATGATGATGATGATGATGATGATGATGATGATGATGATGATGATGATGATGATGATGATGATGATGATGATGATGATGATGATGCTGATGATGATGATGATGATGATGATGATGATGATGATGATGATGATGATGATGATGATGATGATGATGAGATGTTGAGGATGAGGACTAGGATGAGGATGAGGATGATGGTGATGATGATGATTCTGATGATGATGCTTCTGTTGCTGATGATGATGATGACGATGACGATGATGATTCTGATGATGATGACGATGATGACGAGGAGGAGGAGGAGGAGGAGGAGGAGGAGGAGGAGGAGGAGGAGGAGGATTCCCTCGACAGCCTTTTCGGAGCCCCCTGGGGCCTCAGCATAACAAAATTGCCCTTGAGACCCTCCAAGGGTGGCCTCCCCTCTCCCCCCCGCGTCGGGGCGGCCGACCCCGCGGCGAGAGCAGAGCTCATGCTTTTTCCACGCCTGAGTCCTGCGCACCTCCGCCCGCGTGACTTCTTGCTGGCTCGCCTCACCTCCCCCCCGCCCCCCTGCGCTCCTGCCGGCGCGCCGTGGCGCGCGGCCCGCCCGCGCGACCTTGGAGATCGTGACGCAAGCAGTGGGGAAGCGTCTTGGCTCGCCCAGAGGCTCACCAGAGAGTGTTCTGAGAGCCGGTGGTGATCTGCACGACATGTTCTCAGAGCATTTCTGGCTGAGGCCGTCTTGTTTTGACACATCGGGCTTACGTATGTTCTAAGTACATTGTCTTTATTATCCGATTTTTCCCTGGGCTTAAGAACTTGCCGTGGTAGGTCCATAGGAATGCCGGGACGGTCGATCCCTGCTCCAGGGACCGGCCGGCCGCCCGCCAGGGGCGCGGTGAGGTCGGCCTGGGCGGCGTACGCCGTGAGCGCGGCGGAGCGCCGCAAGGACGACACCTTCCACGGCGGCACCGTCGACCTCGGGAAGGCCCCGTGGGCTTTGAGGAGAGGAGGAGGAGGATGAGGAGGAGGAGGAGGAGAGGAGAGGAGGAGGAGGGAGGAGGAGGAGGAGGCGGAGGAGGAGGGAGGGAGGAGGAGAGAGGAGGGAGGAGGAGGAGAGAGGAGGAGGAGGCGACGAGGAGGAGGAGGAGGAGGAGGAGGAGAGAGCACAGTTTTGTTTTTATATCCTCCGGCGCGTAACGGTCGTTACCCGCCCGCCCCCCCCTCCCCTGGGTAACGCGAACGATCGTGCGCAGGCGTTGGGGGCTTGGACCCCCCCCACACGCTGGTGCTCCGGCGTGTACGATGGCGATCGCGGCGCATCCCAGTCCCGACGTGCCCCAGCGTTACCGTTATCCGCGGCCCCAGCCTCCCCCCCCCCCCTTGGGTACCTACCGTTGCCGGAATAATTAATATAGATAATCTCGAATGACATGGGCATACGCATTCGGAGGTCCGCGCGGATTTCTTCGGTCGGCGCTGGGCCCCCTCCCCACCTGGCGCGCTCCGCGCGCCAGGGAATCAGGGCCCTGGAGGCCAGGACTCTGCAAGCCAGGGCCTGGCCTGATCCAGCTGGAGATGCGAAGAATGGGGAATGCTTCGACCCTCGGCTACACTTTCCATTGGGCGCGCCCGTGTCTGGATACCATTAAGAAAACGTTTACGGGGCCGAGATGGAAGGGGTGTGAGGAGGGGGGTCCATCGCCGACTTGGTGGAGTTTTCCTGTGGGGGCCACGAAGCGTGTGAGGGGTGTGCCGACTTGGCGTGGAGAAGGTATGCGAACCAGAGAAGGAGGAGGGGGAGGAGGAAGGAGGGAATGACGCTGGGCGATGCGTATCCGAAACGAGGACACAGCTCAACACAGGATGGTTGGGAGTAAAAAGGCCGTCTACAGGGCCCTGAGGGAAGGGGTGTGGGGCGGGGGGTCCATCGCCGGCTTCAGATATCGGCTTGGACCTCCGAGATCTTATGCTCGTGCCGCCTGCTCTTGCACGATGCCGGCGGCAGCAGTCACTGGCGGCTGTTCGATGCCGAGACCCCGAGCCCCGAGCCCCCGCCCACTCATCGATGTGCTCGGCGGTGGAAGGGGGCTCCGCCCGCAGTGTCTGACCCCCCACTCCGGCGTCCTGGGCCCCCCCAGGGCTTGGACGGGCACCTACGGTCAGGGACTTTGGCTTCGCGTGTCGCTCCGCCGGTTCTGGCCCGCCACGCTTCGGCGCGGCACGCTGTCCACGTCGCGGTCCCCAGGCGCCACGGGTCCGAGCTGTCCCGAGCCTCCAACCCCGCGGAGCGGAGCGACACGTTATCCGCTTGCAGGGCACAGCTTGCCGCCGGGGCCGCCGCGACGACACGCTGAGCAAAAGCTCCTACCCTGGCGTCCTCGCGCCGTGGAGAAGAGCCACGGCCGAAGGCTTTCCGCGATCTTCTGCTCCCGAGGGACGTACACCGGGCCGCGGGGCCGTCAAGAAACGGCGTAGTGCGAAAATCGAAGAACAACAAGAACACATAAGCATAAACTTTTGGCGCTCCGCGCGGATTTCTTGGATTCGCGCCTGGGCCCCCAGGTGGCGCCTCCGGCGCCGCCCCTGGCGCGCTCCGCGCGCCAGGGAGGGGGGCCCAGCGCGAATCCAAGAAATCCGCGCGGAGCGCCAACCCAACAGTTGATGTTTATGTGGTTTTCCTTCTCTCTAGAAAAGCTGGTCCCCAGGAGAGGGGGAGCTTCGCAGCGAACACACCACCTCGTCGGGTGGCCGGCCAGGAGTGCGAACCCGCGTGCCGACTCGTCGGGGACGCTCGCCGCCGACTCCGACCGCCAAGCGGACGCTTGGGCGAGTCGCGACGTTCTCGTTGCCGATGTGTCGCATGATCGAGAGGTCCGAGGTCGTCCACTCGGGAGCGCGGCGAAGATCTCGGCAGGGGGCTCCTCCCCCTCAACGCTCCTCTGCGTCCGTGCAGGAGCTCGAGGGCCCGGGGACTCCGTTGCCCCGGGCGTCCAAGACTCCAGGACGACGCGCCAGAGGCCGACAGAAAGGCACCCCCAGTGTGCCTCTGCGGCGCATGCCCGGAAGCAGAGGCTCTCTGCATGGGCACGTTTCTTGAGCTCGGTGCTCCTCTGGTCCGTCCTGCTTTACACTCGTTCCAACGGTCAGCCTCTGTCACTCCTCGCGGCCCGTGCAAGGGCCACACCAGTTCCCTTCTGGCTACTTGTCACCAGCGTGTTCCCGTGCCTCAGCTCGCCAAGTTTCGGTTCGCCAGGAAAAGGGGCTGCTTGGCACCATTGCAATTTACCCTAGTATTTGCTATCGGCCGCAAATTTGGGATGCATCCATCCACCTAGTCGTCTTCATGGATCATCATTGCAAGTCGTCAATATGGCCATCTATATTTGTATTTCCAAGACACGTGGGTGTGAGGAAATACTGCCTTGAAGATCTGCTCAAGTTTATTCTTCCAACTTGGTCTTCTTTCGTTGCCTGCTGATTCTGCGCGGTTTAGGCGCCAGAGCTTCTTGACAGCCTTGGGGAATCGCGATACCCATCCCGTCAAGTATGATCAACTTCACCGTGCCACTGAAGCATTACGTTGCACTTAGGCGGCGCTCCGAATGCTGGCGACTGTGCGGAGGAGCAGGACGATGACAACGATGGAGGCAGCTTGCGGCTGCTGCCGCCCTTTTGATGTTCTTGAGGCTCACGCGGTCTCCAGTGCTCTCCAGAGGTCCTCGCATGCATTTAGATGCCGCCAGAGGCTCCTCGGGGCCCGGCAAGGGCGAGGAGTGCCCAGAGTTCACGCCACTCGATCTTTCGCCCTCGCGGAGGAGGAGGATTTACCTACCGTTTGGGGTCAATCTTAAACCTCGGGCAGCAACCCTAGGACTGCGCGCGCATGTCGAACTCTTTCCAAAACCTTCATCACCGACGCGAGGACGCCTTCATCGTCGTCGGCGTGATCAGCATCGGCGCCCGCACTGGCCGCGCCGTCGTCGTTGTCAACATCGCCACCAGCATCGCTACTAACATCATTGTGTTTACCGTTGCCGACGTTGCCATGATACCGCGCCCGCCCTAATTGCCGACTCACTGAAGTGCCCGCTGGGATGTGCCCAGCGGTCAACGCGACCGCGGCTGCGTCGGTCGCGCCAAACTAGCTGGCTATATCCAATCTCGCTAACTCTGCTTCACTATCTTCACATTTTCCTGTTACCGAACCTTGCCTTCCGAGTTGGCACCGCCACTGATTAGTAAGGGGCTTAGCATTTTGACAGATTGGGGGTTTTTATTTACTAAGGTTAGTGCCGAGGACCTGGCGGGCGCCTACTCTTCTTACTACTATCGCCCTCACCTTTACTTATTTCAGTTTCCGCAGCGCCCGCCAGGTTCATATTGAACCGAATCGTACAATATCAGGTGTGTTTTTGCACTTCAAGAACGCCACAGGGAAACCTTAGGTAGACCTAACTTAAAAAAGGAGGAGGATGAGGATGATGATGATGATGCTGCTGCTGATGATGATGATGATGAGGAGGAGGATGAAGACAATTGTTGATCCGAGTGGAACGACGTTCCTAACGAACGCAGGGGGCACCACCCACGAAGCGGGGTCTGACTGGACGAAGGGTCTAGTTTTCGTTTTCCCGAGGCGAGCCCGCTGTCGTCAGTGGGGCAGGGGACGGTAATGATATCCCGCCCGACGAAGTGTATCGACCATTCCCAAGCCCCCGCTGGGACAGAGGCGAGAGAAGATGACCGATTAGGTGGAGGAGGAGGAGGAAGAGGAGGAGGAGGAGGAGGAGGAGGAGGAGGAGGATGAGGATGAGGAGGAGGAGGAGGAGGACGAGGAGGAGGAGGAGGAGGAGGAGAAAGACCACTGTAAACCCGAGACTCATCAACGATGTTGTAATACACCCTCACTCCAAGCTCCCTCTTCATGGGCCCCTGCAAGGGTTCATTTGGCCCGCCGCCATGGCCGTATATACGCATTTCCAAGACAAGCGGGTGTGAGGAAGTACTGCCTTGAAGAGCTGCTCGCGTTTCTTCTCCCGACCTGGCCTTCTTTCGTTGCCTGCTGACTCTGCGCGGTTCCGGCGCCAGAGCTTCTTGACAGCCTTGGGGAATTGCGATGCCCATCCCGTCAAGTATGATCAACTTCACCATGCCACTGAAGCATTACGTTGCACTTAGGCGGCGCTCCGAATGCTGGCGACTGTGCGGAGAAGCAGGACGATGACGACGACGGCGGCAGCGGCTGCGGCTGCTGCCGCCCTTTTGGTGTTCTTGAGGCTCACGCGGTCTCCAGCGCTCTCCAGAGGTCCTCGCATGCATTTAGATGCCGCCAGAGGCTCCTCGGGGCTCGCCGTGCCACTGAAGCGTTACTTTGGGCCCCCACTGGCGACGCAGGCGAAGCGTCCTCGCGCCCTGCCGCCGTGGGCGCCCCCAGGGGCCCCGTCCACGGGGCTGGTGCCCTTCGTGCCCGCCTGCCCCCGTGGCCGGCAGACGCGTCCAGATCGCCGCCCCCCCCCGTTGCGAGCCCTGGGCCCGCGCCGCCAGCTCCTCCGCCCCTTCCGCAGGGGGGGGGGGGGGGCAGCAGCGAGCTGGAGGGCTGGCCGCTCCAGAGGTTGATCGTTCGACTGTGTGCGGTCGACATGTTCGAGGGGGTGCGTCACGGACGCATCCCCCTCTTGAAGAGTTAATCCACTTACCCCCGCGCCCACCTGGCTATGCGCCCCACACCGCCGTTCACCGTCGTCGTGTCTTCTCCCCTCCTCACCCTCCTCCTCCTCCTCCTCCTCCTCCTCCTCCTCCTCCTCCTCCTCGTCCCCTCCCCCCTCCCCCCTCCCCCTCCTCTGCCCCCTCTCCCACGGACGGCGCTGCTTCCAGCGCTGCCCACAACTTTGGGCGCTCCCGCCACTGGCCCCAGCAGTGGAGGCCCCCCCCCCCCCCGCGTGCGCCTCCAGCGCCTCCTGCTGGCCCTGTCGCCCCCCGGGGCCACATCCGCATGGCTCGGCCCCGACCCCGTCGGACCCGCAGTGTCAAGTCGGGCATGTCCCTCTACAGGAGGAATATTCCAAAGAAGTCAAAGCATAGTACGGGGACGATGCTTTGACTGTTTTTGACCATTTTTGGAATATTTGCCGGGCCTATCCACAGGTCCCGTTCGTGCGTCAAGGATGTGGTGAACGGGCTGGCAGCATCGCTCGGGGTGCTCTGCCCCGCACATGCCTCAGTTCAAGTCGGGCATGTTCCTCTACAGGAGGAATATTCAAAAGAAGTATAAAATAGGCTGGGGACGATTTCTGGGCCTATTTTGGAATATTGTTGGACATTTTTTTGTTTTTTCTTCCTCTAATATCTGCCTGTAGGGGGACATGCCCGACCTAACCGCAGTGGCCCCCTTTGCCAGCGATGATGCTGCATACTTGCATCGGGGCATGGCTAGCCAGATTTCCCTGCAGCGCCAGGGCACCACCGCACCAGATCGAGCGACTGCGTCGGGCTGGAGGCTGCGGACGCTTCCCCGCCTCAGGTTTGGGCATCGTATACCAGCCAACCTGCCCTCGCCCTCAGTTTGTTCGCTTGCAGAGTCGGAACAGTTCATGGATTTCCTCACTGGATCGGCCTACGCGGAGGAACGCCCTGCTGACGCTGCCCTCGCTCCACGTGGGAACCTTCGCGGTGGCGAAGCGGCCCCCCCGGAAGCGCCTTGCATCCCAGGTACCCTCGGAACCTTTGCCATGACGTCGCTTTTAGTTCTGGAGGTCTGGCATCCTGCACCCGAGCGGATGCTCTCAGATGGCTTCCCCCTCTGCGCCAGCTCCCCTTGCCCAGGGTCCTGGCGGTCTCCCTGGAAAGTTTTCTGCGGCCCCTGAACCCTCGGCCGGGCCTACCCACAGGTCCCGTTCGTGCGTCAAGGATATGGTGGACGGGCTGGCCGCATCGCTCGGGGTGCTCTGCCCCGCACATGTCTCAGTTCCGGGCCGCTTTTTTTTCTCACCGTGGCCAGCTTGCATCTGCAAGCGCACAGGTGCGCTCACACTGCGCCCCTGCGCATGTTTCGCCTTTCCCCTCCCGCCTCTTTCCCTCCTCGTCCTTTGCGCGCCCGCTCCTCCACGTGCCCTGGGGGTGTCCGCCCCCCGCGGGCTCTCGGGCCGGCCGCACCCCCTTTTGGCTGGTTCGAGGCCGGCTTTCTGGCGTCCTTGCAGGATTGCCAGCGCTGCTGCCTCCTCGGGGCAGCCTTTGCGGTGCCCACGCCGCCATTGCTGGCCCTCGGCCTTGTGCCCTATCCTGCCCAGTTGTCTGGCCGTGGCATTACTGTAGTCTCCTCTGTGCCCCCCCCTTTTTCGCTTCCAGCGTGCCGCTTCCATGCCGGTCGGCTAACTGCTTACCTCGTCTGACCCACTTTGTCATCGATGCTCGGATGATCTATGGCTGGCCGCAGCGCTGCTCGTCCTGAGCGGATTGAGGGCTCGGTTTTAGCTGTGCTCGCGCGCGCGCGCCTTTTTCTCTGACCTTTGGGCGCCCTGTCGCTGCGCGCGTGGCCGCGACGCCTCAAGTGTGTGTGTGTGTGTGTGGGTGCGCGCGCGCATGTGTGTCTCCCCGTCCTTGCTTCCCTTCCTCTTCCCGCCTCTGTCACCTTTTTTTTCTCCCTCCCCACTCCCCTCGCGACTGCCGCCCTCGCGAGTGCTGCTGTCGGTCCCCTGAAAGGGGGATCCAGCTGCTCCCTGCTGCGCGCGCTGGCCCGGCCCGCGCGCGTTCGCTTTAATTACTCGGCCTGCGCCCCGCTGCAGCGCGAGCGGCCGTGGCGCCAAACAAGTGTGCGCGTGCGTGCGTGTGTGTGCGTGTGCGTGCGTGCGTGCGTGCGTGCGTGCGTGTGTGTGTGTGTGTGTGTGTGTGTGTGTGTGTTTGTGTGTGTGCGTGCGTGCGTGCGTGCGTGCGTGCGTGCGTGCGTGCGTGCGTGTGTGTGTGTGTGTGTGTGTGTGTGTGTGTGTCGGGCTCTGAGGCAGCGGCATCCCAGAAGAGGGTCCCCACCCGCGAGCTCTCGGGACCTCACGGGAAGCGCAAGTCCAAGCGCTCAGCGTCCTCCACGGCATCTTGCCATCTCCACCTGCGTCCCCTCCGTCGTTTGGCCTGTCAGTCGGTCAGTCGCCGACTGCGCGCTGGTCGATCGTCCGCCCGTCGTGTTGCTCGCTGTGTCGCCCGTGTCGCCCACTTTGCCTGCCGTGCTCGTTTCGTTCTCTCTTTTTTTCCCCAGCTGGTGCTCGTTTCGTCCTCCCTTTTTCCCTGCCGTCCACTTCTGGGTGGCATATGGCGCTGTTTCCCTCTGAGCCCAGCGCGCGCGGGGCCCTGGCCGTTGCACTGAACTTTCTCCCCCTCGACGCTGCGCGCGAGGCCTCGACCGCCAAAAATGTGTGTGTGTGTGTGTGTGTGTGTGTGTGTGTGTGTGTGTGTGTGTGTGTGTGTGTGTGTGTGTGTGTGTGTGTGTGTGTGTGTGTGTATTGTTGGGTGGGTGGTTTGGGTGGCTTGGGTGGGTGGGTGGGTGGGTGGGTGGGTGGAAGAGGACGGGGTAAGGATGGGGAGCGGGATGAAAGAGACAGTAGGAATACAACGAGGATGGTGAAGCTCAGGGCGATGGCGATGACGATGAAAAGGTGGTGGTGGTGGTGATGGTGGTGAGTATGATGCGGGTGCTCGTGCGGATGACGGTAACCACCAATCATACTATAATGATGACCACGAAGACGATGGTGGTGATACTGATGCATCTGATGATGATGATGATGATGATGATGATGATGATGATGATGATGATGATGATGATGATGATGGCGATGATGGCGATGATGCTGATGATGATGCTGATGATGCTGATGATGCTGCTGCTGATCATGATGGTGGCGTGGAGGATGAGGAGGATGAGTGGTGGGGTGGTGGTGGTGGTGGGAGACTTGTAGGAATGAGTCGGATACAGTTGATCAGGAGTAGTGGCGTCAGGGGGAGAAGGGGGTGCTGCTGCTGATGATGATGTTGGTGATGATGATAAGGGGGGCGGATCAGGAGTAGGAGAGAAGGCGAGGGGGGTAGACGGGGAGGAGGAGTAGGAGAAGGAGCAGAAGGAGAAAGATGAGGAGGAGGAGGAAGAGGAGGAGCGGGATGAGGAGGAGGAGGAGGAGGAGGAGGAGGAGTAGGAACATGAGAAATCCCTCATAGCCGCCGCCCCCGCCACAGGGCAAAGGCGGCGCGATCGTGGCTTTCGCGCAGAACCAGGGCAGGCGCTATTTCAGCGTGGCCAGGGAAGGGGGATGGTGATGATGATGATGCTGATGATGAGGATGATGATGATGCTGATGCTGCTGATGATAATGATGATGATGCTGATGATGATGATGATGATGATGATGATGATGATGATGATGATGATTCTGATGATGATGATGATGCTGATGATGTTTGGTTGTGGTTATGTTTATGGTGTGATGATGATGAGGATGAGGATGAAGATGAGGAGGATGAGGATGATGAGGAGGATGAATTTTAATCGAACTTGGATCTTGGACAAAGGCATGCTGCCACCAGCAAGAGTACACGCCGGCTCTGAGAAGGTAGCTCATACTGCAACTGCACGTGGCACAGTTGCAATATTCCCAAGCCGATTATGCCACAACGGTTTGGCAGTCGCTCGATAGACAACGTTGAAGCAGCGCCATGTACAATGATCACCTCCATAGCCAAACAGTGATCTAAGAAGGCGGATAGAGCCTGATGCACTCCATGACATAAATATTTCAATGTTATCTAGCTGCCCCGGCAAGTCCAGTCACCGTGCCAGCCCAGCATTCTGGGTGGCGACTGTTCAGGGAGACATGGGCGGCCGTCAGTCCGATATCCCGTGTCTCTAGATTCGGGAGAGCCGTGATGAGGGTGAAGGGTATTACGAGGATGACGGTGATGATGATGATGATGATGATGATGATGATGATGATGATGATGATGATGATGATGATGATGATGATGATGATTATGATTATGATTATGATTATGATGATGCGATGATGATGATAATGATGATGATATTGATGATGATGACGATTATGTTGATGGTGCTGGTCATGGTAGTGGTGATGCTGGTGATGATACTGGTGATTTAGATGATGATGATGATGATGATGATGATGATGATGATGATGATGATGATGATGATGATGATGATGAGGATGCTGAGGATGATGAGGATGATCATGGTGATGGTGATGGTGATGGTGCTGCTGCTGATGATGATGTTGATGCGGATGCTGATGCTGCTGCTGCTGACGGTGATGATGTGGATTGCGATGATGTTGTTGAGTCATTTCTAAAGAACAAGTAGCATTGACCCCCTGGGTGCCCATCTTACGATTTTCGACTAAAGTGCTCCTCCCAGGGCTCGCGCCCTGTTTCTTTACAGGGGGAAATCTGGGGGCTGGGACGAGGGGGGGGGTCGGGGGGTCCCTAACAGCTCGCACGAAGGTTAAGAGCAATCATAGTTCACAGTTTTGGAGGGGTGCCCTTAGGTTCTTCGCCGTTGGGCCCTCTACCCTAGAATGCTCTTCGCTTTGGATCTCTCCATGGGGCCTTGGGCTCTCGGCGAAGGAGCCCACGTTCTCGATCCGCGTTCTTGTGACTTTGTTTGGGCTGTATGAGAAGACAGAAACCCTACTGGGCAGCACTTGGCATTCTTACACGCCCACATCGGACAGTCACTCTGGCGGATTGACACCCCAACTATTGCACTGTTGACGTGCACCGAGGCTGCAGAGGGGAGGTCTTAGATGGACTCGAGGCCCCCGTGCCTCCACCTGCAGCCTGGGACAAACCGTGGCCAAGAAGATGAAGAAGGACACCAAGTCATCCGTAGCCATTTTGGCTCAAGGACGACGACGTGGTCGTGGCCGAAAAGAGAGCGGTTGCCGTCGGGTGGGACGCCCCAGATATTGTGAAGGCCTCTTGAAGCCACAAGTAGAGGTCCATGAGGGTGTGGCTTGCATGCTTGGCCGCCGCAGGTGACACAGCCTTGGGATTCGACGTGCAGGCGTTCAGGCCGGCGCCCGAGTCTTGGAAGAGGACGCAGTGCGGTGGCCCCAGCGGCAGCGCCGAGGTCCCCACGAAGTGGGGCCTGGAGGTGGGGCCTCGGGCGCAGCCCCTGGGTGCCTACCCCCGGCCCCAGATGGTCCGCCGTGCCGGAAACGCCCCGGTCTCCGGTCCGCTCGCCGCCCTCCGCGACGCCGGAGACCCGGGCACGTGGGCCAACCTCAACGGCCTGTGGGAGTGGGAGGAGGCTGCGTCCGACGTGCCGCCCTTCGGCCGAGTGCTCGCGGGCTCCATCCTCGTGCCCTTCCCGGCAGAGTCGTGCCTCAGCGGGGTGGCGCCGCAGAGGAGCGCCGACATCGTGGAGCGGATGTGGTACCGGCTCACCTTCGACTCGAGCCACGTAGTGAAGGACGGGTTCCGGACATTGTTGCACTTCGGTGCGGTGGACTGGCAAGCCAGCATATTCCTCAACGGTGTTATGCTCGGCAATCATACGGGTGCATACGACGGCTTCTCATTCGACATCACAGACTCGGCCAGCAAACATGGCAATGAACTTATTGTTTATGTATTCGACCCTAGTGATCGCGGCGCTCAGCCGAATGGCAAGCAAAAGAATTCTGCAATTGACAAGCCAGGGGGAGACCAATACACGCCGAGCTCGGGCATTTGGCAGACTGTGTGGTTGGAGAGCGTACCAATGTACTACATCATGGACTTGAAGATCAACCAGGCGTCACTGCACAGTGTCAGTATCGAGACTGCCGTTAACGACATTGGCTATGGCGCTGGCGAGATTGATGTGGACGTCCTCGAGGAGGGTTCCGTCGTCGCCTCAGGACGAGGCACTGTTGGAAAGGCGATCATAGTTGAAGTGCCGTCTCCAGCGTTGTGGTCTCCCGAGCATCCCAAGCTTTATGACTTGAAGGTACGCTCTACCGTCCAGGCCCCTCAGATTGTTGTGGATACTGTGATTTCTTACTTCGGACTGCGCACAGTTTCAATTGGTCCACAGCCTGGTGCAATTCATACGTCCATCCGACCACTGCTGAATAACAGGTTCACTTTCTTTGCTGGTTTTTTGGACCAGTCATGGTGGCCAGATGGGCAGTACACTGCACCCACCGATGAGGCATTGGCATACGATTTGGAGGCGACAAAGATGTTCGGAATGAATCTGATACGCTTGCACCAGAAGGTAAACCCCGAGAGGTGGTATTACCATGCTGACAGACTTGGTCTGGCAATATTTCAAGATATGCCACAAAAGTATGGAGGTGCAGTCAATGACACTATCCCACTTTTCGTGGAAGATATGAAGAGTATGATATTAGGACGCGGGAACCACCCTTGCATCATTCAGTGGACGACATTCAATGAGGGAGACTGTGTTGGGGTGTTCAAGACCCCTCCCAATGATGTGAAGTCAATTACGCAACTTGTAAAGCGGTTGGACTCTACACGTTTGGTGGATACAGATTCAGGTGGTACTTTGAACAACTTGCACATCGCTGATGTGAACGACATTCACTCATACCCTTTTCCTGGCGACCCAATGCCTTCTGCATCTCAGTACGCAATGGTTGGTGAGTTTGGGGGCACCAGCGTCGCTGCTGTCATCCAAGGCAAAGAGTGGGTGCCTGGCCTGTGCCAAGCGGGCCGCCATGCAGCAAACAGTTCCGATGAGGCTACGAAGTACATCCAAATGGCTTCGTCGTTGCAATCACGTGCAGACCACATCAGCGCGTCTGTCTTCACTCAGATCACGGATGTTGAGCTCGAATGCGATGGCTTCTTGAATTACGACCGTTCGAACAAGTTCAGCGTCGCCGAGACCAAAGCCATTCACGACGCGAACCAGGCCTTGGTCGGTGCTTCTGGTGGTGGAGTGTCAGACAAGCAATTGCGCCTGCAGCAAGCTGCACCAGGGGCCATTGTTCTTGTTTGAGCACAGCCGGCAATGCTATCCAAAAGCAGCGCTGGCACCCATCTTACAGCATTTGCACTCGCCGTCGCATGATACTGCGGGTAGTGTCAGGAACACGCTTTCTCAGTACGAGTATTTGCATATCTCGGACGACAACATGTGAGGTAATGGGCTACGGCGCAAGAAAGAAACAGCAAGAAGAACAACACCAATTCGTAACAATCCCTTTCAAATAGACGTCAGTGCCTTGCCCACCCAGTTGCGCACGCCAGCCGCAGCACTGCAAGATGCGTGGTTGTGCTGCCCGCGATGAATGGTGTCATAATTTTTCGCCGACAAGGAGAACGACATAACACACTATTGAGAAACCACATCTGTGCACTGTCACCTCCGAGCGTACGCCAACTTCAGCACTGCACGATGTGTGGTTGTTGTGTCCGCGATTGGCGGTGCCAGAACCTCATCGCCAAGAATAGCAAGCACTATTATTGATGAGTGCTGCCTTGCCGTGCTGCATCCACGGCTTTGCCCCTCCTCTCGCCACCGTGCTGGCAGCACTGCAGCACGGACTCCTCAAGAAAACTTTGGAGGGTAGGTGCTAGACTCGAGGGCGTCGAAGTGCTTGTCGAGCCGCTGCTGTCTTGAGATGGGGGCGGGGATGACGAGCAGGAAGATGAGATGGGGGCGAGGGGACGGAGGAGAACCGGAGGAGAAAGTGCAGAGCCAGGAAGGAGGCATCGCAGGGCCTTTGCCGATTGTGCCCCGAGGGCCCACACAGGGCGCGCCCTCACGTGGAGCGAGGCGCTGGCCTCCGTTCCAGAGGCTCGCGCCCCGCTGCGGCGCTGAGCAGTGCACCGACGGCGGTAAGAACCCAGTGCTCCGCGGCCACGCTCAAGAAGTAATAGCAGGACGAGCAGGAGGAGGAGCAGGAGGAGGAGGAGGAGGAGGCGGAGGAGGAGGAGAGGACCAGAGTAGGCCAAGGATTTGTAAATCGTGCTGCATGTTGCTCTGCCGTCCCAAGTCCCCTCCTCACAATTTCCTGCAAGCATCCCTTCTCGCTGCTGGCAGTGTTTTGACAAGGATCCGCATTCCATTCTTCTAGCCTTCAGAGGTGCAGAGAAAACCGCAAAGTTGGACATACATGTCTCTCCTGATAGAGCCCCGCCCTGGGGCCGCCCTGTTTCCCATGCGACCGGAGCGCAGTTCTTGACTACCGACAATAATGCCCGAAAGGTAATCAAGGGGTGGTCCCGTTTGGACACTGGTGCGCCTTCTATTTGTGCAGCTGTTGTGAGTTGTTGAGACATGCGCGTGGCGAAAAAGCGAAAACCAAATTTTGAAGCTGGGCCACCCTCCATTCGCGTTGCTGGTGGGAGCCCTTAAGACGAACGTGCGGGGCACTATGCCACGACAGCGCTCGCGTCGGCAACGCGAGAGCTTCATTTTGAAAACGACTTGCCCTTTTGCGGTGTAGTAGTTGGAAACTTGAAAAGGCGAACGTGCGTGGTGTTTAGGCGGCCTCCTCCTCGCTGGCTCTGTCCGATGTCGAGAGCCACATCCGGAGAGGCGCTCGTCCTCCATCCCGCGGCTTCCATGCTCTTCGTGGCAGCGCCGGCGCGGGTCCGAAAGCCGCAGCCCGCCCCCCCACCTTCGCGAGCCGAAACTGGCACCAGCAACGGAGGTGGATGGGAAGCAGGAGGAGGAGGAGGAGGAGGATGAGGAGGGGAGAGGACCAGAGTATGCTGAGGATGCACAAGGGATGCTGCAACGCACCCTCCCGTCCCAAGTCCCCGTCCCATAGGTCCCTGCGCGTAATCTTAAGTCGGGCCTGTCCCTCCACAGGGGGAATTCTATATATATATATATATATATAAAGTAAAAAATAATAAGGGGACTATTTTTGGAGTATTTTTGGGCAGCTTTTGAGCATTTTTGAGTATTCTTTATCTTTTGTCCAAAATCCCCCCGTAGGGGGACAGGCCCGACAGAAGCGTGATCCGTTCCATTGTCGGAGGCCGTCCCCTCGAGCGGCGAGCGCCCCGTGGGCCTGCCAGCAGGGCGAGAGACCCCGTTCTCGACAGGGCCCCGCCCGTGCTCCTGGCACACAGGAGCGCAAAGAGGGATAATGACCCTCCTCCTCCTCCTCCTCCTCCTCCTCCTCCTCCTCCTCCTCCTCCCTTCTCCCTCCTCCTCCCTCCTCCTCCATCTCCTCCTCCTCCCCCCCATAACCTCCTCCCACTCCTCCTCCTCCTTCCTCCATCCCTCCCTCACTATCCTCCACAAAATACTCAACTCGATCCCTAATCATACAATCCTCTCCTTCCACTCTCCTCTTCCCCCTCCTCCTTCCTCTCCCCATCCCTCCTCTCCCCCCTCCCTCCTCCTCCCTCCTCCCTCCTCCTCCTCCCCTCCCTATCCCCCCCCTACCTCCTCCTCCTCCCTCCCCTCTTCCTCTCTCTCCCCCTCTCCTCTCTCCTCCTCTCCTCCTCCTCCTCCCTCCTCCTCCTCCTCCCCCTCCTCCTCCCTCCTCCTCCTCCCCCCGGTGACACCGGGGGCCGCAGGCGCGGGTGTACCCTGGCGGGGTGGGGGGGGGCTGGGTGGGTGGCGCTCCGCTGTGAGGGTGCAGGCCCCCCCCGCCCGGAAGGGGCGAAGGGGACCGGTGGAGGAACGCGGGGGGGAGACGCATGAGAGGGGGTGGGGGACGTGTTGCTTGCTCAAAGTGCGCGCCCTGGGGTTTCCCCCCCTCCCCCCTCGCGCGGCCGTGCTCCGTCGGACACCCTTTTGATTATCCTGGCAAAGCAACCTAACAGCGATGTGTATAAGCATATCTGGAAGCATTCCCCTTAAGATTCAGGTGAGAATCCAGTTGTAGAATTCTGCTGTTCTCGCAGTCGCAGTCGCATTCGCAATGACAGTCGCAGTGGCAACGGCCTTAGGATCCAATGGAATCCTAAGGATTCCTTGGGAATCCTAAGGCATCCTTAGGCATCCTCAGGAATCCATAGGAATCCTTAGGAAACCTTAGGAATCCTTAGAAATTCTGATTCCTAGGGATTCCTACGGATTCCTAAGGATTCCTAGGGAATCCTAAGGATTCCTAAGGATTCCTGAGGATGCTTAACTATGCCTACGGATTCCTAAGGATGCCTACGGATTCCTAAGGATTCCTACGGATTCCTAAGGATTCCTATGGATTCTTACGGATGCCTCAGCCTGCCTCAGTTTCAGCCTCAGCCTCAGCCTGCCTCGGCTTGCCTCAGCCTTAGCCTCAGCCTGCCTCGGCTTCAGCCTCAGCCTGCCTCAGCCTCAGCCTCAGCCTGCCTCGGCCTCAGCCTGCGTCAGCCTCAGCCTCAGCCTGCCTCAACCTCAGCCTGCCTCCGCCTCAGCCTCAGCCTCAGCCTGCCTCGGCCTCAGCCTGCCTCGGCCTCAGCCTGCCTCGGCCTCAGCCTGCCTCAGCCTCCCCTCACCCCCCCCCCTTTCCCCCCCCCATTCAGCCTCACCTTGTCTCAGCTTCGGCCTGCCTCGGCCTCATCCTCAGCCTCAGCCTCAGTCTCAGCCTCAGCCTGTCTCGGCCTGAGCCTGCCTCGGCCTCAGCCTCAGCCTGCCTCAGCCTCAGCCTGCCTCAGCCTGCCTCAGCCTCAGCCTCAGCCTGTCTCAGCCTCAGCCTGCCTCAGCATCAGCCTCAGCTTCAGCCTCAGCCTGCCTCGGCTTGCCTCGGCCTTAGCCTCAGCCTGCCTCGGCCTCAGCCTCAGCCTCAGCCTGCCTCAGCCTCAGCCTCAGCCTCAGCCTCAGCCTCAGCCTCAGCCTGCCTCAGCCTGAGCCTGCCTCGGCCTCAGCCTCAGCCTGCCTCAGCCGCAGCTTTCCTCAGCCTCAGCCTCAGCCTCAGCCTCAGCCTCAGCCTCAGCCTCAGCTTCAGCCTCAGCCTCAGCCTGCCTCGGCTTGCCTCAGCCTCAGCCTCAGCCTGCCTCGGCCTCAGCCTCAGCCTCAGCCTGCCTCAGCCTCAGCGTCAGCCTCTCAGCCTCAGCCTGCATCAGCCTCAGCGTCAGCCTCAGCCTGCCTCGGCCTCAGCCTCAGCCTGCCTCAGCCTCAGCCTGCCTCAGCCTCAGCCTCAGCCTGTCTCGGCCTCAGCCTGCGTCAGGACACGAAGTGGCCTGTAGTTGGCTCCGGGCGTTCAAAATGTGGCCTGGGAATGGTGTTCTGGGAACGCGAAGGACACGAAGTGGCCTACAGTTGGCTCCGGGCATTCAAAATGTGGCCTGGGAATGGTGTTCTGGGGAGTCCCCGGATCCTCCCCGGCACCCGCCCAGGCCCCTCTGGGGAGTCCCGGGGAGTCCCCGGATTCTCCCCGGCATCCGCCCAGACCCCCCTGGGGAGTCAAGATGGTCTCTTTTGAGCCCACTAGAAACCTATCAGCCTTCGCTATTAGGTAACATGAAGGTCAGCCCTTCATCCGTGCAGGCGTTGCGCAATGAGCATGGCTCTTCTCGTGCAGGCTGCGGGAGTCTCAAGCGAGGCTCCCATTCCCCCAAAACAGGGGGCGCCCTCTTTCCGTGCAGCTGCTGCACAATCTGGAAACTTCGGACGCGTGAAGTCCAACTTAAGTTGGAAGAAGAAGAAGAAGAATAATAATAATAATAAGTTCCGTTCGAGTGCCGCATGTTGAAAACCAGTGTCCTTCCATCCGCGTAATTGCTGGATTGTTTACTCCAGATTTCGTAATAAAAGGGAGGGGGTCTGGACCCTCCAAGACAAGCCATTTCAGACCTCCCCCGTGGGAGAACCCTTCAAAACATCGTCCCCAGACCCTCCAGGCCCTCCAAGATAGCCTGGAAGAGACCCCCCCCCGAAATGAGACCCCCCTCCCTCTATTACGAAATCTGGAGTAAGGCGAGTGTGCGCGGCGTCAAAGCGACAGCTCCATTTTGGCAAGGAGCCGCTCTCCATCCGTGCAGATTTTGCACATCCAACTTGGAACTTCGGATTGTCGTGTTTGAGGAACTCTCGCGCGACAGCCACAATTGGAAAACGTACTGGCTTTAATCTTGGTGCTTGCTGGAAGCTTTGAAAACGACTGGGCGCGGCGCAGAGGCGAGAACCACATTTTTGAAACGAGTAATTGCTGGGTTGTTGAAGACGAGTGCGTGCGGCGCTAAGGCGAGAGCCCCATTTCAAGAATCGACCGGCTCATGATCCTTGTTATGGCAGGGGATTTTTAGTTCCAGGATCTTGGTTTATTGGGAAGAATCAAGCGAAACGCCTGTCCCAGCCTGCTGACACGTCTGGTGGTGCGACATGGTGGAAACATCCACAAGTAAGAGGGGTGGGAGGGACGTTTTTTTCGGTGCGCCGCTTGAGCCCAAGTTTCGAGGTCAGAAACTGCCACGGCTGAGTTGAGTAGTAGGGAGGAGATGAGATCACGCCTCGTCCCAGCAAGCGATAGTCTTGGAGGGTGGCAAACATTTGCAACACCGTTGGAGGACCTCCAAGCTGCCAGTGCCGCAGAAACGCAGCGAGGCCCTCCCACAAAGACCTCGAAGAAGACGAGACAGCATACACTTACACTCCTCGGGTTCCAGAAGTTTTGTGCTTCTGTGTGGTCTGCTCCTCCGAGAACGTGAGAGCAGGGAGGGAGGGAGGGAGGGAGGGAGGGAGGGCTCCAAGAAGGCCCAAGAAGCGCCCCGAGAAGCCCCGAGAAGCCCCCAGGAGGCCCCAAGAGGCCGCCAAGAGGCCCCCAAGAGGCCCCAAGAGGCGCCCAGAGCGCGCCAAAGGACCTCCGGCAGGTGTCGTCGGGCTCGGGCGGTGGCCGACACCGCTTCGCCCACCCCCGCGCCGGCAGGGCAGGCCCCGCCCGCGCCCCCGCTCGCGGCCGTCCCCGTGCCCTCCCGCCTGCCCGTGCTGCTGTGCTCGTGGAAGTCGATTACTGGAGAGGAAGCATGCTGCCAACTGGTTTCCAGATGTCTGACACATGTTTCAAACATGTTTCGAATCTGCAAAGCGTGCCTGAACCATGTTTGGAGCATGTTTTGCACAGGTTGAACGCATGGTTAGTTCAATGATAGGACTGTGAGAGTGCCCACTGTCATGGCATCCACAATGCTGTACAGCTGGCATAGCACGCGATGCAGTTGTCACCGCAACATCCCTGTGCCGTTTCGGGCCGCGGGCCATCCTCCTCGGTCGTGGTCCCTCTGCCGTGGTGTCTCCTGTGGCCCTCGCTTCGTCGGGCCCCCGTTCGGTCCCCAGTCGTTGCGCTGTGCGATTGGAGTGCAAACGGGTTGGTGGTTCGTCGCCTGCCCACGGCCGAATCAAAAAGCGGCCCCTCCCACCTCTCCGCGGCAGGGCACTTTGCTCCGGGGGCGCGCCGCTGGCTTCTCTTCTGCGCGCGGCACGCGCCCATCAGCCCGAGCTGAACGGCCGGCTGCGGGCGCCGCTTCGCGCGGCGGCCTCGATCCAGCGGTCGACGACGGAGGGCGATATCGATCGGCAAAATCGATCGGCTGCTCAGCCAGTCGGCGATCGGGCTCGGTTCGAAGGGCGGCACACTCGAGGATGATGAGAGCGCTGCGTTTCAAAATCGTGCAAGCCTGGGAGACTAGATCGTCAGGGTCACGCACTACACCAGCTGGAACCTGGCCCTCCTGTGCCCCAGCCTCGGCAAAGTGGTCGGCCAGAGCGTTCAGGATAACGTGGTTTCATCAAGCAGAATTCTCAGAATGTGCGTATTTATCAGGATCATCCAGAAGGCGTGGATGAGGACGTTGGTGATGAGGAAACATCGGGACGTTCCTCCAAGAGGGTGTATCACTACCAACAAAACTCATGGTTGTCTAGTTTGGCCGAGTGTGCTCTTCCTGACACGTACGCCTTGATCATGTTGCTGTTATCGGTAACACTCTGCAGACTTTGTGCAGGGTTGACAAGTCTGAGACACTTGAGGAAGGCCGTAAACTCTGCACGAGGGGCCGTCTGCAATGCAGAATTTAGATCGCCAATGGCTGTGCCATCCCACTGGAACTCATGTCCAGTGACTAGTAGCCTGAAAGTAAGAGGAGGATAACCGGGAGGAGTAAGCCAATTATGAGGATGATGAAAGGTTGGGCAGGAGGATACCGAGATGCTGGGGAGGGAAGCTGATATGGTCGATGGTGATGATGGTGATGCCCACACATGCGTCCGCGCAACCGCTGTCGGCACACCCTTCACACGTTTCGTGGCCCCATAGGGAGTTCCACCGACGGCCCCAGTGGCGGTGCCCACATGCGTCCCCGCCACCCATGTCGGCACACCACTCACACGTTTCGTGGCCCCATAGGGAGCTCCACCGACGGCCCCAGTGGCGGTACCCACATGTGTCCCCGCCACCCACGTCGGCACCCCCCTCACACTTTTCGTGGCCGCGTAGGAAACTCCACCGAAAGCCCCAGTGGCGGTGCCCACATGCGTCCGCGCAACCCCTTTCGGCACACACACACACACCTCACAAGTTTCGTGGCCCCATGGGGAATTTCACCAAAGGCCCCAGTTGCGGTGTTTACATGCGTCCGCGCAACCCCTTTCGGCACACCCGTCACACGTTTCGTGGCCCCTTGGGGAGCTCCACCGACGACCCCAGTGGCGGTACCCACATGCGTCCCCGCCACTCATGTCGGCACACACCTCACACGTTTTGTGGCCCCATAGGGAGCTCCACCGAAAACGATATTCACAACTGCGTTATTCACAATTGCATATGGTTGGGTCCTTTGCCAGGCTCATTTTTAATTGGTCTCGCAGCCACGGTGCAAGGCTGAATCTTCCACGAGGCCATGGCCTCGCCCACCTGGTCTCAAAGGCCCGACTGTCCGCAGAGGTGGTTCAGATAGAATTCGACGAGGATGGTGATGAGGAGGAGGCGTAGGACGAGGAGGGCGGCCAGGTGGAGCTGAGCATCGAGAGCGATGGCCTGTTGTACTCGCGCCTCCAGGGCGTCACCAAAGACACGCTGGCTCCAGGCGCCACGGCGCACACGAGCCCTATAGTAGAGTGCAGGATGTACCATGGAGGCTTCTAGGGGCCTAGATGATGCTGATGCTGATGATGGTGATTATGCTGACGATGATGCTGATAATACTAATGATGATTGTGCGGCTGATTATTATGATGATTATGGTAATGATGCCGACGCTGATGATGGTAATGATGATGCCGTTGATGGTTGTGATGAAGGTGTTGACGGTGCGGTCAATGTTTTTGATACTGTCGATGTTGATGGTGACGATGCCGCTGAGGATGATGACGATGGTGATGGTGAGGACGATGCCGATGCTGATGATGGTAGTGATGGTGTTTGTGGTGATGCTGGTGCTGATGATCATGACGATGATGGTGATGATGATGATGATGATGACGATGATGATGATGAGGATGATGGGATGTATGTGCAACACGTGGAATAGGTGGAGGAGGGGCATATGAACAGGGCATTGCGATGCCGTTTCAGATGATGGCGATGGCGATGGCGATAGCGATGGCAATGGCGATGGTGATGGTGATGGTGACGTTTATGGTGATGCTGATGAAGACGATGGTGATGATGCTGATGGTGCTGATGATGATGCTGCTTCTTTTGATGATGATGGAGATGATGGTGATTACCATGATGACGACGATGCCGATGACGAAGACGATGATACAAATGGTGATGCTGACGATGATGCTGATGATGCTGATGATGATGGCGCTGATGATGATGATGATGATGATGATGATGATGATGATGACGATGCTAATACTTCCGCTGCTGCGGCTGCTGCTGCTGATGATGATGATGTGGATGATGATGATCATGATACTGATGATGGTGACTATGATGACGATGCTGATTCTCGTTATGATGCTGATGCTGATGATGCTGATGATGAAGCTGATGCTGCTGCTGATGATGATGATGCTGCTGCTGATGATGGTGACGATGATGCTGCTGATGCTGATGCTGATGCTGATGCTGATGCTGATGCTGATGATGATGATGATGATGATGATGATGATGCTGATGATGATGATGATGATGATGATGATGATGATGATGATGATGATGATGATGAGGATGAGGATGAGGATGAGGATGGCAATGAGGATGATGATGATGCTGATGATGATGCTGATGATTATCATTCTGATTATTAGGATGATTATTAGAATTGCTGTCATTATTATGATTGTGATGATGGGACGGGCGGATGGGACTGAGGAGTAGGACGGTGGTGGTTGTGGTGGTGGTGGTGGTGAGTCGGAGGATCATGCGGGTGGGGAGGGGAAGGATGTTGATGAGGGTGTTAATGACTACGGCGACGACGAGGAGGATCAGGAGGAGGACGATGAAGCCATTTGGCCTCTTGCGGGCCAGCCGATCCCGATCGATCCATCGGGGTCGGTCGGCGCCTGCCGCCCGATCGATCGCGGTGGCAGGGCGCATCGCGCATCGGCCAGCCCCCGAGGCCGGGCTTACGCGCGCCGCGCGCCATCCTCTGCGGCAGGGGGCCACCCGTGCCTCCCTGCCCCCTGCCGCAGGCCGCGGCGCTCGCGGCCGCGCTGCGGCCCACCGGCGGGGCGCCGCCACATCGCCGAGGAGGAGGCCCAAAGGGTGCCGCACACCGCCGTGAGCGGCAGCAGAGAGCCCAGGACAGGCTCCTGCTCCGCCTGCGGGCGGCGGCTGAGCGCCTGGCCGCCCATCACTCTGCCCAGCCAGCGATGGCACGAGATGGGAAGGGCAGAGGCAGCGGTGGCCGAGGCGGCAAGGGCCACGCCCAGGAAGGAGCATCGCCGCCAGCAGCGCCCCCTTGGCGCCAGGAGAGGTGGCAGGGCGCTGGATGGCAAGAACAGCAGTGGAACGCGGAGCCAGCAGGCGAGGACCCGCCCTGGCGCAGAACGCTTTCACGGCCGCGGCGCTCTGGCCAGGCCAGCCCTCGCCAATGGCAACCGCAGCAGCGGCAGCAGCAGCAGCCCAGCCAGCCCCCATGGCAGCAGCAGCAGCAGCAGCAGCAGCAGCTGCAGCAGCAGCCCAGGGCGGGCAAAGGCGGCCAGGCCAGTTCCAGCAAAGCGGACCAGAGGGCTCAAAAAGTCATTGACTCCGTGGCAGCCTGCGCGCTGGACGAGGCGACCTCCCACCCAAAGTGGCAGGCGCCCCCAGCTGACCGCGCAGGCATCCAGAAGTTCCTGAGCAGTGCGGACCAGAGGCTGAGGAAACTCGGCGACCTGGTCGTCGCCAAGCAGGCCGCGGGCGACAGCGCGAAGGAGCAGCTGATGGAAATCTCGGTCATCAAATACCAGAAGCTAGTCACGAGGAGGCCGAATGACCAGCTGCAGGTGCTCAGCAAGAGGCGCAAGGCCGTCAAACTTGAAGTCATCGCCCTCGAGGCCAAGACGAACGAGCTGCGGGACGACCTCAAGGCCAAGCAGCAGGAGTTGAGGCAGCTCGAGTCCAACATCGCCGACGTGCGGGCCGTGCTCGCCGACGGCGGCGCGGCGGACGACGAGGGCGACTGGGACACGGACGGGTTCGGCTTGGCACCGAGCTGGGATGCCTTCCACAAGGCCGTTATCGACAGGCGCCTGCGCAGCGAAGCACCTGGTGACGGATTCCCAGCTTGGCCAGCGGGAGCGGTGGGGCGATCGCCACGCTCAAGAGCCAGCTCGGCAGGCAGCGCAACCAGAGGCTTCGCCGATCAGGTGGCCATGGCGAATGCGGAGCGGGCCCACCAGCAGCAGCGCCATGCCGAAGCCGAGCAAGAGTTGGCTGCCGAGCTGGCGGAAGTCAGGAGGGTCGCCCGAGAACAAGCACTCCGCCACAACGGCGAGCAGGCGAAACTCAGGCTGGCACTCAAGGAGGAGTCAGAGCAGCTGCAGCGCATCACCGCAGCGGAGAGCGCAGCCCAGCAGCAGCAGCAGCAGCAACACAAGGCCCTCCGCCATGATATCAAGAAGCAACAAGCCGAGCAGCTCGAGTTCGCGACGCAGATGGAGGCCAGGATAATCAGCCATGACACTGCCTTCAGTCAAGCCAAGGCAGAGGCCGAAGCTGCGACCCAGCGGGCAAATCAACTGCATGAGCAGCTTGAGCAAGTTCGAGCGGAGCACCGGGAGAAGCCGCAACCCCAGGACAGGGTCTACCAAGACCTGCTGCGGGCAAGAGCCGAGACGCAAGAGGCATTGCGAAGGGCCCAGCACGAGGGCGCCCAAGCGACAGCTACAGCGGGCACTCTCAAGCAGCAGCTCACCAGGCAGGAGCTGGTCATGGAAGAGAAGTTCCAGGAGGCCAAAAAGAACCACGCCCTCGAGCTTGAAGCTGCCGCCGAATCAGCCAGGGTCCAGGCAATCGCCCAGGCCCAAGTGGTTGCCAATGCCAAGGGAAAAGGGGCCCTCCCGCCGGCAGAAGCGGCCAGGCTGCAAGGGATCGTCCAGACAGCAGCACGGCAGCAGGAGCGGCTCAAGCAGACCAAAAGCGAGCTCGAGGCAGCTGAAGCCCGCATACACGAGCTCCAGCAGTACTCCAAGCTTGAGGCGGGCGCTGCGCAGCGTGCAGTACAAGTGGCATACCATGAAGCAGCGGAGCTGAGAAGCGCCAACGAGGAGCGGCAAATCCCGCACGAGGTGCAGGCATTGCAGTTCGCCCTGCTAAGGACTAGAGCAGAGGAGGAGGAGATCGCGAAGGCCAGCCTGAAGGACAAGGAGGCAATGCGGGCCGAGCTCGAAGGCAGTGCTGAGCGAATGAGGTCGAGTCTCACCCGCCAAGTCATGATATAAGAGGCGAACGCACATGACTTGCAGCTGCACACAGAGAGCCTGCGACAGGAACTGAGCAGCTACGCGGTGCAGCTGAGCGAGCAAAGGTCCAACGCAGAGGTGCAGGGGCAGGCGCTGGAGGAGGAGCTCGCCCAAGCCCTCACCTTCAGGATCGCCAGCATGGAGGAGGCCTCCGCCATGGAAGACTTCGTCAGCCAGCAGAGGACGGGCAGGGAGGAGGCCATTCACCTCGCGCTGCAAGAAAGCCTCCAGCGCTCCAGCACGCTGCACACCGAGCTAGACGCCATCGCTAAGAAGGAGCAGCAGGGCGCGTCGGAGACAGAGGAGCTAAAGCTGAGAATGCAGAGCCTGGAAGCCATTGCAGCCAGCAGGGAACGTGAACGCAAGGCCATGGTCAACCTGTGCGCCGAGATGAGGCAATACGGGCAGGAGGGCTACGACTTCACCAAGAGGGCAGCTCATCACCTCGTCCAAGGGGGCCACCTCCCAACGTCCCAAGAGTCCATGGACGACTACCAGGAGGCCGCTGACCTGTACGAGAAAGACAGAGGAGCAGCCGAGGCAGCGACCGCCACAGCGGAGCCCCCCGTTGCGACCAATCTCCAAACTGGTGCAGCCGAGGAGCGCCCAGCCAACAGGGGCCGCAGGCAGAGCAGCTCCTCGCCTCGGAGGCCAGCATCAACCAGGTCAGCCAGGTCAGCAGCCCGCCAGACCGACGAAGGCGATGCCCCCCTCATAGAGCGTGACAGGTCCAGGAGCCCCGACAGGCCAGACCCGCACGAGGAGGCAGAAAGATACGAGCGCGAACAAGATGAGTTGCGCAGACAAGATGCTGAGGAGAAAGCACAATGGGAAGCCGTACAGATGGAGGAGGAGCTGGAGTCCGTAGTGAGGGACCACGAGGCGAAGGAGATCCAAAGGCGCTACTACGAGGAGGCCCCCTTGACCCAGTTCGGCACAGCGGGCGCGCAGGACTCTCGAGCGGAGGACGACGGCTCGGAGCATGCGCCGATGATCTACCCCGCCAGGTGGCCGCCCTGGAGCCAGGATCACCCCACACCCGAGGAGGGTGAGGAGATGAGGGGGATCACGCAGCATGAGGCAGACACAGACCTGGCATCCACGTCAAGGGCTAGCTCGGTACCAGCAGAGCAAGGCGACCCTCCTACCCCGACAGCATCTCAGGTAATCTTCATCCCAGCATCGCCAGCGCCACTCAGCGAGAGGTCACTCACGCCCACAGTTCCATTCGGGCATGATGAGCAGCGCGGCCATGGAGGTGGAGAGGGAGCCGACAGCTTCGTATTGACCCCCCCCCCTGCGTCCCAGCAGAACGCGGAGGCGGCAGCGGCCAGCATCGAGAGGCAGTACGAGGGCATCGACATCATGACGCGCCAGCGCACCTCAGCCGCCGCCGCAGCTGCAGCCCTCGAAGAGGCGTTTGGACCCGCGCCCGCATTCCCAGGAGAAGACATCAGCCAGGCCCACAAGGGTCAGCGGGTAGACTCTGGAGAGTCAGGCATAGCACGTTTTCGTGGCCGAGTGGCCCGCAGGAGGGACGAGACAAGGGGCACAGCAACCCCCTCCCCTCCTGCAACTCCTGGAGCCGAGGAGCAGGCAGCAGCAGCGCCCGCTGAATCCCCCCGAGGGGGGGAGGGGGCCTAGCAGCGCCGCCAGGCTTCAGGACATGCATGACAGAATTCACTACCAGGAGGCGGCCGATGAGTCCAACAGGGCAGAGCACGACGGATGTGGGATCTCGTCACGCTCTCCGATCAGTTCGACAGCATCGATCTCCTGGGCAGCATCGGGGAGAGCAGCTGGGGCCCAAAGCCCGCAGCACGGCAGTGGGGTCCTCCACTACGATGCTCGACCTACCTACCACCAGAGGCTTGAAAGCACGGCGGGCCCTGGGGGTAATTGCGACAGCCGTCTTGTAACAAATAGACCAGCGGAGATTCCAACAGTCTCACGCACCAGATCAGGTACTCCCAGGAGTCCAGGGTCCCGAGGGGCCACGACTCCAAGCAGATGTGCTACCGCAACGGGCATTGGCAGTGGGAGGGCCACTCCCAATCGCAGCAGCCAGCATCAACAGCGGTATCAGTCACCTGGATCTCGAGGGGCCAACGTGACACCACCACGGCCGACACGAGGGCCGCCCGCCGCGTCTCGAGGGGCGCTAGGCGGCAACCAAGGAGGCACACTACCAGGGATGAGTGATGCATCCGCCAATCTGTCAGCACTCCAGGTCACAAGCCACCAAGATGGCTGCAAGGATGCGTTACCGGCTGCCCTTGCACTCAGTGTGTCCCCCTCCGCCATCCGAGTCCACGAGATCGAGAACGTGGAAAGGACCTTTCTCGACGGTCAAAACTCGGCTGGCAGCGAGGAAGAGGATGGCATGGAGCAATGTTACGAGGAGTGGAGGCAAGCGCGCGCAGCCGCAGCCTTCCGATCAGCCCAGCGGAGTGCACGCCGCGCACGGCGCGCTGCGGAGAGCCACAGTCGTCGGGACAACAGCAGCATCCACAACAAGTACCATGCTCTGGCGGTGGATCCAGACCCGACGGACTCAGCAGCTCAACCAGCAGCGCCAGTGGCCCCAGTCCCGACGGACCCAAGCAGCTCACCACGGTCCAGCAGGTGGAAGCCAACGCTCCCCTCGGCATCAGCGCGCTCCCACCACGGCACGGGTGCTACCAACCACCCAGACGCCCTGGATGGCGAACCTCATCGTCTACGTGACAGCATGCTCCACGCCCAATCACGCGAGCCCCTGTTCAGTCAGGCCGCGCGGGCTGGATCGGACAACTTGAACTACGATGAGGGGAGCCAAATGCCATCACTACCACCCGTGAAGCGGAGTGCGCCTCAGGCTGGGGCCATATCACCAGCCCCACCCACACGTTCTCCGACACCACAGCCACCTCCAGCCCACATCACCACTACACAAGGTCCCATTCTACAGGGCATGGGGCTGGCGCCAGGCGACGACATCGAGTACTCCCCCGAGTACGTCAATGCAGAGAGGGCCAGGCGTGGCCGAAGGCGACGGCAGTTCCCCACCACGACAGCACGAGAAAGAGGCCAAGCGACAGTGCTGCCAGTTCTCAGCCAAGACCCAGTAGCCGAGACCCTTCGCGGCCGAGGCCGCGTCAACGTCTGCGACGACGTCGACACTACGACCCTGCACAGCATGGCAAGGGTGGCGCTGGAGATGTGCCCATCGCGCGAGCTGCCGACCAGACGGACACACATCTACACGGACGGCAGCTACAACGGCATCCCACATACAGCCGCCTGGGCAGTTGTCATTGTCGACGAGTACGACGACGGGCGCAACTTACGAGGCCCGTTCGGCTTTCGGGGTTTCATTGCTGGCAAGGTCACCGAGACTTTAGACGACATGGCAAACAACGAGAAGGTGACGGCATACACAGCCGAGCTCACGGCAGTACTTTGGGCACTGATGTGGGCCCTTGGTCAAGACACCGACGCGCCCATCGAGATCACGCCTGACGCCCTCAACGTTATCAACCTGGCCAAAGGCGAAGCCCAATGCCACGTGCATCCGAGGTTGGGGGCCGCCATTCGCACGCTTGCAGGCCTCCTCCAACAAGCCCGACCTACCCAGTGGCACCATATTAACTCGCACATCGGGCACCCTTGGAACGAGCTCGCAGATGGGATAGCAGATCAAGCTTCGGCCAGCGACCTGATGGACCCGAACATTGCAGCAGTGCAGGCGATCGCTCACAACAAGTTCCTTTCCTGGGAATGGCTGCGATCAGAGCCAGATGCGGTCAAGGCCGCATACCCGCCCTTGCGGAACAAAGACTTCATCATCGAGGCCACCCAGCCGCAGGCAGCCCCAGGAGCGATCCAGAGGCCCATCAGCACCACCACCATCAAGGCTGACCTCAACGTGAATTTGTGCACCTACAACTGCAGATCACTCAAGGCCGCCGTCAGCTTCAAGTCGGGCATAGGCAAGGCGGCCGGCAAAAGCAAGCAGAGCCTCTCCAAGGTCACGCACCTAGCAGCACTGTTTGCTGACATGGGCCTGCACGTCGTCGCCCTGCAGGAGACGCAGAGCGAAGGAGACGTCCGCAATGTAGGTGAATATGTTTGCTACTCATCAGGCCACACGCAGCAGAACAGAGGATGCGACATCTGGCTCAACGTCTCCCAACCAATCAGCGCGAGTGGGGCAGCGAAGTACCTAAGTGCCAAAGACACCCTCGTCCTCCACCAGCACGACAGGCTCTTGATCATCAAGACCCGCGTTGCAGGCACAGACATGGTTATCGCATCAGCATACGCACCCCACGAAGACTCCCACGCGGCGGAGAAGAGAGAATTCTGGGAGTCTGCTCAGCGATTGTCTGACAAGTACCGAGTGGACATCTTCATGGGGGACCTGAACGGGCGTCTTGGCGACTACGAGTCCCCAGGAGTTGGCACCAGTGGGTACCCAGAAGCGACCAACGGCAATGGCAAGCACATCATCAGCTTCGCTGCCGACACCAACATGGAGGTCATCAACACCACGAGGGATCCAGGCAACAACTCATATACGCACGTCGGATCGAAGGGGCAGCACCACAGGATAGACTACATCCTGCTGAGCTCCTCGATCGCCCCGTACGTTGCGAGCTGCAGCACCGAGCCAGGTCTGGACCGAGGCACAGCTGCACAATACCACATACCAGTACTAGCCACCCTCAAGTGGGCCGTCTGCAAGACCACCAAGGCCTCAGGACCGAGGCCCGACCTGACCAACTTGAACAATGACGTCGCCAAGGCCAGCTTCAAGGAGATTCTCAAGCAGGCCCCGATCATCCCCTGGGAGGTGGACGTCAACACCCACTGCGAGGAGGTCACCAGGGTCGTCAACGACGCGGCCATCCAGGCCTTCGGCAAGGCCGCCAAGGCAACGAGGAAGCCCTACGTCACCAAGACTACCATGGGCCTGATCCGAGCCAGGCGCCTCACACTCCGAGTCCACCGCGCAGTGCTCAGAGGAGAAGCCCATGACGACCGACCTGGGCGACTAGTAGCCCACGCCCATTCTCTTCGTGCAGGCGAAGTAGGGGACTCACTCTCCCTGTGGAGCAGAGAGCGTGGCGATGACGATGGCACCATCCACGACATCCACCACTACGCGCACCTCCTCCTGAACTGGACAATCTCGCCCATGGTCTACGCCATGGCCATCCTTTCCTTCCTCACCAGGTCTGGGCCCATCGTTGCCGCGGCCGTCGAGAAGGACCGCAGCGCATTCCTCAGTCGGCTTGCCTCGACAGCTTCCTCCGCCTCCGCTGCGAACGACGCTGCGGTCCAGTGGAAGGCTTACCGAGACCTACTAAGGTATGGAGGGAGGAAGGCGAAATTCCCAGCAGGAAAGCCTATGCGGCTCGACAAGGATGGAGAGGTGATCCACAACTCCCAGGACATGGCGGACCAGGAGCTAAACGATTTCGCGAAGATACAGGCGGGCAAGATCGTGACAGCGGATGATCTTGCCAACAAGTACAATCACGACAGCAAGATCAGGCCCTTCGACGGCATGCTGGATCTCTCCATGGTGATGCCCCTGGCCGTCTGCCAGGCCCAGTTCGCCGCGGCCAAGGCTGGGACGCAAGGAGGCCCCGACGGGCTCACGAACGCTGTCCTCAGGGCGGCCCCCACAGAGGCAGCGAGGCTACTGCGCCCCCTCTTCACCAAGGTGGCGACCACCGTGCGGGAGCCGCTGAGCTTCAAGGGTGGAGACCTGGTCGCAATTCCCAAAGGAAAAGGCGACCCAAGGTACCTCCAAGCCTACCGCGAGATCCTCTTAAACAACGTCCTGGGCAAGCACCACCACAAATACCTAAGGACCATGCTCAACACTACCCTCGCCATAGCGCTGGAGGACATCCAGGTTGGCGGCCGGCCCAAGCGAGGGGCGGACATGGCGGTCCTAGCAGCACGCCTCTTCACAGAGAGAAGTCAGGCCCAAGGGAGGTGCTCCATGATAAGCTGCTACGACTTAAAGGAGGCCTTCTACTCGGTTGTAGTCCAGCTGGTTCATGGCATCCCAGGCGAGGAGGACGAAGTCAAGGAGGTGCTAGAGAACCTCGAGGTTCCCCTGTGGGCCCAGCCGCAGCTGGAGCACCTCATGGCCAACCCAGGGATACTCGACGCAGTGTTGGACGGCTCCCACCTGGCTGCCCTCATTGCAGAAGGTTACCGCAACAGGTGGACATCACACAGGTTCTCCCAGAACCTCATGGCGCCGCACAAGGGCACGAGGCCTGGCGCGCCCCTGGCCGACGCGGACTTCAATCTGCTATTCGGCCGAGTCCACCGCATGATTGACAGCTACCTTGCGCAGCGAGGGCTACGACCTCAGGGCAAGCCTCTTGACAGCAGCTTCGCATGCGACACCGACCCCGCAGGTGGGCCACTCCAGGAGCATGAACCTCATGGCCTATCGTTCGTCGACGACCTAACGGGCATGCACGTGTTCACCAGCCCCGACCACATTCAGCATGAGGCCACCGGGTTCTGCGAAGCCGTCTACTGCGCCGCCAGCACCTTCGGCCTCCAGCTGCAGCTCACCAAGACCAAGGTGATGATCGACTTCAGTGGGCCTGGGAGCCGGCAAGCGCGGGCCAGTTTCTACTCCGAGGGAGTGCCGAGGATCGAGGTCCCCCTTGCAGAGAGTTACGTCGAGGTGGTTCGTCACCACAAGCTCCTCGGGACCTACGTGACCGACAATGCATCCCCTGGGGTGGATGTCGCAGTGAAGGTAGCCACTGCAGCGACATCCACGAGGCCTCTCCATCGCGAAGTCCACCGGCGATCAGAGCTGGCCATCAAAGACAAGGCCTACTTAGCCGACAGTGTGGTGCTATCCCAGCTACTATACAATGCGTCTACCTGGCCCGAACTCACCGCAGGCCAGGCCAGGAATTTCAACAACCAGTATATCGTCAACTACGCTGCCGCGCAAAGGATCACTTGGAAAGTACGACAGAAAAAGGAGGTCACGAACACCCAGATTCTCGAAGGGGTCGACAAGCTGCCCCCAGAGATAGTCCTGCGACTCGAGCGGCTACGACTATTTGGCAGGTGCCTCAACTGGGGACCCCTGCACCTCCGCCGGCTACTTAGCCAAGCCTGGGATGGTAGTTACGGCTGGGTGGCACTGCTCCGCCGCGACCTAGACTGGGTCCGCGACCACACAGGACCTGACGAGCGTGGTGGAGCATACACGCTCGAGGACTGGAAGGACTGGGCCAGGAACGACTACCAAAGCTACCTCAGCGCAGTAAAGAAAGCTTGCCAACGTGGCAAAGCTCGCCAGTACGATCACGACTACCAAGCTCGATGGCGGCTTCGACTCCAACGGTGGACCAACGCGGAAGCCATCTCGCCCTTCCCAGACCAGCACTTCGAGCAGCAGCGCAAGTACCTATGCTACCACTGCGGACGTACCGAAGCCAGTGCAGCAGTGCTACGAGCACACATCACCAAGGACCACACCTCGTCGGGTCATCCTATCTCGTGGGCAACTGGGTCGGTCTGCTACGGATGCGGCATGGATTACCACACTACAAACAGGCTGGTCAAACACTTGCTGAGAGTGCGCAGGTGCGCTCGACATTGGCGAAAGACGCGTCCAGCAATCCTAAGTAGAGCCGAGCTGCAGCACAACCAGCAAATCGTGCGCGACCAGCAGCAGGCGAACCGAAGGGCGGGCAGGCCCATCGACTGGGCAGAGAAGCCTGCAGTCCCTGCTCGTCCTCCAGAAATACATACGGACGAGGACAGCGACGACAGCAACGGCGGCCACTACGAGAGCCTAGAGCTCCCCTTCATCGAGGAGCCACCACCGCCGCCAGCTGCTGCACCTAGGCCCAGACCAGCTCGGACGCTATACGCGCTGCATCTATTCAGCGGCCGTCGCCGAGAGGGAGATGTTCAGGATTGGTTCGACCGCCTCAGCAGTCGGGCTGCTTGCGACATACACATGCTCAGCCTGGACATCGCCAACGACCCGACCTTCGGCGACCTGACATCAGAAGTCGCAGTCAGCAAGTGGCGAGACATGGCACAAGCAGGGAGAATTGCAGGAGTCATCGGCGGACCGCCGTGCGAGACCTGGAGCCGAGCGCGCCACTTGCCCCCCAATGACTGCAGGGGTCGCCCACCAAGACCCCTAAGGAGCAGCAGCAGCCTGTGGGGCCTTCGCTACCTTTCCCGTCCAGAGATGGAGCAAGTAGCGACAGGCAACCGCTTATACAGGACACAGCTGGAGCTCATGTACATGTGCCTCAACCTGGGAGTCCCAGGCATGCTCGAGCACCCGTCCGAGCCTACCGAGGAGCACTTCGCCAGCTCCTGGAAGCTTCCCGAGACGCGCCACCTCCTGAACCAGCAGGGAGTCGAGCTGATCACATTCGACCAGTGCACCTGTGGAGCGCGTTCGAGGAAGTCCACAAGCCTGATGGCGGTATCCCTACCAACCCTCCGAGCAGAAATCAGTAGACTGCCTGGAAGCGGGAGGTGCTTTCACACGGCCTCCTACCACGCGGAGCTGGCAGGCATCAACGACGACGGCCAGTGGCGCACCGCGGCGGCCAAGGAGTACCCGAACAGGATGTGCCAGGCCATCGCGACCGCACTGGCGAAGCAGATAAGGTGGCGCTTTGGCGAGTCGCCTAGCGACGTCCAGGGGTGGCACATCGACGACGACGTGGCCCACTTCTTCCAGCCGCTCGACCGCTACAAGACCAGGGAGATGGGTCAGGACTACCATCGGGGCCCAGCGAGGCGGAGTGGCTCACCGACCTGGTTGGAAGAGGCAAGGGAGTGGGCCCTGCAGGACCGACCCGACAAGGCAATCGGCAGGACCACCACCTCGACAGGAGCTGTTCGGGCACAGGCTGAAAACGCGGATCGCGACGAAGCGCCCTGACGACAAGTACAAAATAATCAGAACGCAAGTCCTGAGGAAGCCCCGAGTGCGTGGGAACACCTCAGGCTACGTCGCCAAGTTTTGCACAAGTCGTCAGGACGCAAGTCCTGGGGAAGCCCCGAATGCGAGGGAACACCCCAGGCACACGTCGCCACGTTTTGCACTTTGACGGACACGGCCGCCGTCCAGTCAGGGCTCAGAGGTACCAGCCAGATTACCCCAACTGCACCAAGTACGAGTCAACGCTGCCCTGGTGAGGCAAGGATCAAACTTCGAGACGGGCTCGAAGGGCGGGGGGGCAGGACGAGGACTGCCCGCGCCTACCAGGGGGGATGGTGAGGGGCAGGGGGGGGGGCAGGACGAGTACTGCCCGCGCCCCCGCGGTCCGCCCTAGCTCGCCACCCCCACCATTCCCATGGCGGAGACGGAGCTCCCGAGCGCCCAAGGGCGAAGCATAGGGCAGCGTTGACCTTCCTCATCGACAGCAAGAATCACTTGGCCTGGGGTTCGCCCCCACCGAGGGCACTGTGACCCCTAGCCATAGCGGGACGAGGTAGGGCCGCCATGAACCCTACTTGAAGTCGGTGCATGGAGGCCTGAGTGCGCCCACAATCTATTCCACCTACCAGCAACAAGCCGGCCCCCATCGACCCGAACCAGCACGACAATTACCTCATCGGCTGAGACGAGTACCAGAGCCTGAGCCCAACACAGTCAAACAGTTCTACTCGACCAAGGCGACCGAGCCAAGCACAAAGAGCCTACCATCATCGAGACAGACGACCACTGGATCAGCGATGCCGAGTTGAATGGAGTGAATGGAGCAAATGGAGAAGGCTCATCATACCGATTTCGACCAGCAGGACTGAGTCGAGTACCACAAGCTCGAGGGCGACAGAATCATGCTCTACTGCAACACCATCGACCACCGACGTGGCCCAGTGAGGAGGCTGAGTCGTCGGGGTCCCGAGGGACATAATTTGGTGTCACCCCCCTTACCCTCAGCCGCCTCATCTTCCACTTATGGTTTCCAGGTTCGGGCCCTGTGCTGTGGGGGTAAAGGGGGTGGCACGCCAGGCGAGCCCTGGCCCACCGTGCTCCAAGGCCTGGGCACTGCCGCCCAGGACAGGTGTTGCAGCTGCCAGGCTGATATCCTGGGTGGCAGCGCACCGGGCCTGGGGGCGAGTAGCAGACCATTGGACCCCGCTCCCCTCTTGGGGCCCGCGTTTTGGGGCCCCCGCCGGCCTGTTTCCTCCCTCCTTGCGGGGTCCTCTGGTGCCTGGCCTTTCCCAGCTTTAGGGCCTCGCCCCCCCGCTCTTCCTTTGCCCCGAGAGATCCTGGAGGCCCCTCCCTCTCCCCTGGGCGGGGCCCCCTCCCCCCCCCCCCCGGCGCCGAAGGCGCCCGCGCGTCGGCCGCGTGCGCGGCTAGGCTCGGGCGCGGAGGCGCCTCGGTCGGCGGCAGCTGCCGCCGTGTTGCGCTTCAGGGATCAAACCCTTCATGGCGCGGCAAATAGCGGAAATAGCGGAGGACGATGATGATGATGATGATGATGATGATGATGATGATGATGATGATGATGATGATGATGATGATGATGATGATGATGCTGATGATGACGATGCTGATGCTGCTGATGATGATAATGATGACGATGATGATGATCTTGATGGTGATGATGCTGCTGCTGATGATGATGATGATGATGATGATGATGATGATGGTGATGGCGACCACAACGGCGTGAGGATGCTGATGATATCGATGGCGATGCTGCTGATGCTGACCGTTGAGGTGACTCCGCACTTATTGAATGCACGCAGCGTTGGCGATGCTGCCGACGATGTAGATGTTGATTGCTGCTGCTATGGTGGCCAGTATCGTGGAGGATAAAGAGGAGGAAGACGAGGGGAAGAGGAGGAATAGGAGGAGGAGGAGGAGGAGGAGGAGGAGGAGGAGGAGGGAGGAGGAGGAGGAGGAGGAGGAGGAGGAGGAGGAGGAGGAGGAGGAGGAGGAGGAGGAGGAGGAGGAGGAGGAGGAGGAGCGCCGCCAGGGGGTCCCAGCGCAGATCCCAAAAATCCGCGCGGAGCTCGGAAAGTTTATGTGTGAGTGCTTGCCGCCTTCTCGGCCTCTAACCGAGCGTTGCGATACTCGCCCGCTCACGGCGTGTCCTCGCGCGCATCAGTTGTGTGTTCTTGTGCGCGCCCGCTCACTGCTTGCAGCTGCCGCGCCCCGCATGGCACAGAGACAGGCGGCCGCCGTGGAGCGCCAGAGCACGCGCCGGGGCACGTCGCCGGACGCGGGCGGTAACGGCGGGGCAAGAGCGCGCGCGTGCATGGCGCCACGGGTGGGAATTCGCCCAGCAGCACGCCCGAGGGACAGGGGGGAGGAAGATCCCTTAGATCCTGGCGCCCCAATGTTTTCGAGCCGGGCGTCTTTGTCTGGCTTCGGGCCCTGGGGGGCCCTCGCAGATCGATCCAGTTGGGACAATGGCGCAGGAGGGTGTGGTCCAGGGCTCCGGTCGTTAATTTCATGATGCCTTTATTTCTTCGCGCCGAGGAGGAGGAGGAAGAGGAGGAGGAGGAGCAAGAGGAGGAGGAGGAAGGGGAGGAGGAGTAAGAGGAAGACCAGTGTAAAACCAAGAGTCATCAACGACGTTGGAATTAACTCTCCCTCCGAACTCACTCTTCATAGGGCCCCACAGCGGTTCATTTCCATTGAGGGAACTGCCTCGTTGGAAGACAACCGTGTGAAGATCCTGAAGCATGCCGAAAAATTGTTCTAGGGATTCCAACGCCACGTATCAACCTGATTGCTGCGTCTTGACGATCTGGAACGGTGCTCAAAAAAACGCATTTTTTTGGGGGATTTCAACACAGCGAGTCAACAAAACTGTTGCACCCGCAAAATCTTGAATCCTTCCAAATTGCCTTTTCTGGTACGTTGATCATGGGATTCCATGACAATTTTGCGAATTTTGACAACGAATATGCGCGCCGCTAAGGCGAGAACCACATTTCGAAAAGGAACCACCCTCAACCCATAAAACATTGCAAATGTTTTAAACGAATGTGCGCGGCGCTAAGGCGAGAGCAACATTTTGAAAACGACCCGCCTTCAATCCGTGAAACTCTTGCACATCTCTTAAACGTATGTTCGCGGCACTAAGGCGAGAGCCACATTACGATCACGACCCGCCTTCAATCCGTGTTTTTTTGCAAATGTTTTAAGCGAGTGTGCGCGGCGCTAAGGCGAGAGCAATATTTTGAAAACGGCCCGCCTTCAATCCGTGAAGCTCTTGCAAATATCTTAAGCGAATGTCCGCGGCGCTAAGGCGAGAGCAACATTTTGAAAACGACCCGCCTTCAATCCGTGAAACCCTTGCAAATATATTAAACGTATGTGCGGTGCGCTGAGGCGAGAACCACATTTTGAAAACGACCCGCCCTCAATCCGTGAAGCTCTTGCAGTGTTTAACACAAATGTGCGCGGCGCTAAGGCGAGAACCACATTTTGAAATCGACCCGCCCTCCATCAGTGAAAATGTTGCCATTTTTAAAGCTTCAGGATCATAATGGTGAGGATGTCTCAGGCGAAACGCCCGGCCCGCCCTAAAAACTCGCCTCGGGGTGCAACGGGGGGTTGTCTATAAGGAGAAGGAATGGAGGAGGAGGAAGAGGAGGAAACGGAGGAGGATATGGAGGAGGAGGCGGAGGAGGAGGAGGGGGAGGAGGACGAGAAGGAGGACGAGGAGGAGAGGAAAGGAGGAAGAGGAGGAACAGGAGAGGAGGAGGAGAGGAGGAAGAGGGAATAGGAAAAGGAGGAGAGAGGAGGCGAGGACGAGGAATAGAGGGGGAGGAGAGGAGGAGGAGAGTTAGGAGGAGGAGTTGAGGAGGAGGAGGAGGAGGAGGAGGAGGAGGGGAGAGGAGGAAGAGGAGGAGGAGGAGGAGGAGGAGGAGGAGGAGGAGGAGGAGGAGGAGGAGGAGGAGGAGGGAGAGGAGGAGGGAGGAAGGGAGGGAGGAGGGAGGAGGGAGGAGGAGCGGTAGGCGGGAGGAGGAGAGGGAAAAAGGGAGGGAGGAGGGAGAAGAGGAGGAGGAGGGGAGGAGGAGGAGGAGGAGGAGGAGGAGAGGAGGAGAGGAGGAGGAGGAGGAGGGAGGAGGAGGAGAGGAGGAGGAGGAGGAGGGGAGGAGAGGAGGAGGAGGAGGAGGAGGAGGAGGAGGAGGGGAGGAGGAGGAGGAGGAGGAGGAGGAGAGGGGAGGAGGAGGAAGAGGAGGAGGAGGAGGATAGGAGGAGGAAGGAGGAGGGGAGGAGGAGAGGAGGAGGGGAGGAGGAGGAGGAGGAGGAGGAAGGGAGGAGGAGGAGGAGGAGGAGGAGGAAGGGAGGGGGAGGGGGAGGGGAGGAGGAGGAGGAAGAGGAGGGAGGAGGAGGAGGAGGAGGAGGAGGAGGAGAGGAGGAGGAGAAAGGAGGAGGGAGGAGGAGGAGGAGGAGGGAGAGGAGGAGGAGGAGGAGGAGGAGAGGAGGAGGAGGAGAGGAGAGGAGGAGGAGGAGGAGGAGGAGGCGAGCGAAGAGGAGGAGGAGAGGAGAGAGGAGGAGGAGAGGAGGAGGAGTAGGGGGAGGAGGAGGAGGAGGAGGAGAGGAGGAGGAGGAGGGAGAGGGGAGGGGAGGAGGAGAGAGGGGAGAGGAGGCGGAGAGGGAGGAGGAGGAGGAGGAGGAGGAGGAGGAGGCGGAGGAGGAGGAGGAGGAGGAGGAGGAGGAGGAGGAGGAGGATAACTAGGATAACTCTTCAAGAGGGGGATGCGTCCGTGACGCACCCCCTCAGTGTACTGAACGATTACACACAATCGTTAAAACCCTCTCGCCCCCCCCCTCCACCTCCCCGCCGCCGTCGGAAGTCCTTGACGTTCGATCCGACGACGGGCAGTGGCGCTCTGCCGCCACCAGCGCCTTGGGGGATGGGCCAGTCCTTGCCAGCCTTGGGGGGGAGACCTCGACTCAGACTGTTCAAATAGTTGCGTCCCGAATTGGTGCGCTTTTCGGGACAGGGGTTGACCAGCTCACGCAAGTGACCCCCACCCTGGACCACTCGAATCTAGCACACTTCCAGCACCACGCTAGTCCATTCTGCATAGCAATAGAGTGAGAGCTGTGGACGACTCGATCGCCCACTCTGAGGGTGTGCACACTCGTAGGGGGAACTCTGACGTGGTGCCCCTGCTCACTGAGGGCTCGCTGGGCTAAATCTCCTGGGCACAAAAACGCCTGGAACCACTCTTCCAAGGAAAACGGCCTGGGGTCTGGCGGCGCAGCTTGCAGGACCAAAGACCATTCGTGAGACGCTGCATCTGATGGCCAGCTCTGGCCTCGAGCTCTCCCACCCTCGACAGCCCCGACTCCGAACCGAGCGACCCACCGAACTCCCCACGGTCCCCCCGATCAAGTTCAGAGCAGACGTGGGCCAACATCGCCCCTATCCTCTGATGCACCAGGGTGGCTCTGGCATCAGCTACGTTCAGAGCTTTGATGGCACTTCGGATGGGGGCGGCGGCGGCCTCAGCACCTCGTTGGGCCAGCTGATCGGCCATCTCGTTTCCCCGAGAAACTTTCAGATCCTGGCCTACGCGCATGTGGGACTCTGCATCCAGGTGCGAAAAACACTTCTTTAGCACAACATGCCCTTCGCCCCTGCTCTGCAGGGCCGCTCTCACCCGAGACCACCACCGAATTAGCGGGCCCTGCGGAGCGGAGGCGAAGCCTTTACACCATCCCTCAAAGACAAGAGCACAGTCGGACCACAGCTCTATGGGTCCCTTGGTGACCTTAAGGGCCCAAACCAAAGCGGCGAGCTCACTAGCAGGCACTGTTTGGGGTCCATCAATGGTCCCGAACAGCCCGCGGAGGACCCCACGTTCCACGTCCAGCTCCGCCTCGCCCTCCACGCGGAAGTACACCCCCCAACCCACACGGCACACTCGGGCATCGCTGGACGTGGCGGAGCCGTCAAGGAAGCCTACCTGCGCCTGGAGGGGGAAAGTAGAAGACGGGAGGAGCTCGAAGGAGGAGTCGAGGTCAGGAGGGGGGAGCCCTACAGCCCAAACCTCTTGGCCTTCTCCAGAGTTCCACTCGGGGGGCGGGGGCACAGGGTTCCAGGACGGGGGAACGATCCCCCGTGTCCAGAAGCTTACATTCGTGCCCTCACTCAGATCTTTCAAAGCATGCTCACACAACGACTCGGTTCGGGAAACCCACTCCTGGTCGATGTTGGCATTCGCCTGGCACTCATGCAATCTGTGAGCAATCGTGTCTTTTCCAAGCTCGCACCTCGGGCAAACGTCATCGCATTTGTAGCCCGAGGATTTGGCGCGGGCCTTCGTCCAGATGCAAGCCAGAGCGTTCGCCTCCAGCGCACCTGCCTCACGATGTCGGCCCTGGCGACGGAGCCGTCGCAGGTTGACCCGCAGCATGTGCATGTCGCCACCCTCATGCAGCCCCTGCCCTGCTGGATGATCGCCAGCCTGCTGCCAGAGGTCGCGCCTGACGGAGGAGCACAGAGCCTCGTACAACTCGTCGTAGCTGTCCGCGGCATCGCCCATGTGCTTCCACTCGTTCCCCTGGTCATCGAGCCAGTGGCCTGGAGCTCGCGGGGTCCAGCCGAGCTCGCGCAGCATCATGATGAGAGCCCCCATCGGGCCCGTCACGCACCGCCATCTTGAGCGGGGGCGCAGGTATATCAGCCTCTTCAGCACCGCTCGCCAGCCCCGTCGAACTCGTTCTCGCAGCTCTGGATGGGCCTCCCAGAACTGGAACCACTGCTTGACCTGATCCTTGACCACGCTCATCTTGGGATCGTCGTCCTGGTAGTGGAGCAGCAAGACTGAGGCCGCGCATCTGCCGCCGACAGTGTGTCCAGCCAAGTCTGCCGCTTGGGCACGCCTGCGCTCCATATCAGACGGCGCCGCTCCCAGAACTGGATCAGCATATCGAAACTTCGCCTTGATGTTGGTATTGTGCAACATGACTCCTTTGGATCTGATGCCGCCTCGACCGACTCGCCTGAACAGGGCTGTACGCGTGGCGCGAGCCTGCGCCGTGGTCATCCAGCTCTTGGTGGTCTTGGTCGCACGCTTGAGTCCCATGGAACAGTCCACCCCAATGTCCTTGGCCCAGCTGGCGCGCTTGATCTTGATACCCGTGATCCGCAACACGTGCCTCTGGACTTTCACCTCATCCTTCGCATTCGTCATCATCAAAAGCGACTTGGGGGAGACTCGGAGTCCCAGGTCCAGCATGCCCTGCACCAGCTCGCATGTGATCGTCTTAGTCTGGTCCAGCACCATCTTTCTTGGACCCTCCACTCGCGTGTGTACATCGTCGGCGTACTGCCTGATGTGAGCCAACGGGGCCCTCTCATGGGCCCTCTCCAACAGTCGGTACAGGAAGACTCTTGCACAGTGATTGGCCTTCCCGCAGCCTGGTACGATGGAGCAGTTCGGCACGATGGGCTCGGCGTAAGCCCCTTGGGCCTTGGCCGTGCGAGGCGACAAGTACGTCAGGCAGCAAAGGTACAGCTCCACCGTAGGAAATTGAAGCTCGATCGCCTGGAGAATCATCTGTGCCAAGTCCATATGATCATAAAACTTCTCAACATCTGCCAGAAAATTGCTCTGCTCGTTGAGGCCGATGCGTGCCCGAGTCTCGTCCAGGACCATGGTGGGCAGGGCAGCCTGGAGCGCGCTGCTGCCTCTCGCCGCCGCATCCCAGTGCGCAGCCCTTTTGTCGCACCACTCCGTCAGGGGGGACTTGGTGAGGCGCCCCCAGATCCTGACGGGCATTGGCAGGAGGCCGATGCCCCTCTCGTTGCCCAGCTCCTGCTTCTCGCCCTTGGGCAGCAGCGCGCACCAGTTGTGCAGCAGCTGGTGCGGCCAGGCCAGCCCTCGCCTGATCATGTTGAAGAGCGTGACGGGAGACTCCTGCCCCTGGTCCGAGAGGGCGAGGATGTGTGCAGGCTTCCACTGATCTGGCCCCGTGCCCGTGCCCTTCGGGAAAGACTTGAGTGCTGCCGCCAGCTGCTCCCGAGGGTGAACGGGGCGGTCGGCCAAGTCCTCGTGGGCACGGGTCCTCAGCGCACCGAGGGCAGCGCGGACTGCTGGTAGGCGGTGTGGCTGGGAAGTCCACCGCGCTGCCCAGCAAGCCGCTCTGACGTCAGTTGTGCCCTGGACCGTATCGCATACCTCGCCAGTGGCGGGGTCGATGCAGGTCTCATCCAGGGCGCGCTGCTCGTTCTTCTTCAGGTAGCGGTGAGCGCCCTTCATGGAGCCCTGCGCGCTCTTGACTGCCCAGCTGCCGATCTCACTCCGCGTCTGCTGCCATGCCAGGCTGGCGTGGCGAGCCGAGCGGGCCTGCACCTTCAGCGCGAAGTTCTGCCACTCTGCGAAATCCGTGCAGGCTCGAATGCGCTCACCCTGGCGAATGACCTGCTCATCGTCTCTGAATACGCGCCACTTCCCAGCCATATCCTCTGCATGGCCGTCTGGAACTGGACCACAGCTGTCATGATCTCTGCGGAGCTCGGTCAGTAGGCTATTCACGATGTCCTGCACTCGCTGCCGATAGCTCGAATGACGAAAACGACCAAGCGCCACCAGCTGCTCCTGCACCCTGGCGTGCAGGCTCGCCCACCTACTGTTGAGGGCGTTGGCGCTGGAGTGGCCGAAGGTCGAGTCATTCTTCTGGACCACTGCGCGTCTCCACTGATACTTCACTGGCATACCTCGGCGGGCACCCTGTCGCAGCTCAACCCCGCAAAGGTCTGCCAGTTGTGCCTCCGCCGCCAGCGACCAGATGCCATATTGCTTCGCGAGGATCTCAGACATATGCGGGGCAGCTCTGTGCGCCTCACTCTTCTGCACGTCTGGCTCGGCCTGGGGGAAGGAATAGCCGAGACTCTCGCTGGCCTCATTCACGTACTGGATCCACTCCTGGTCCTCGCACTTCAGAGCCCGCTTGGTGACGTAGTGGTCGTCCAGCAGGTGGTCGTCGTCGTCGTTGAGCAGGTCACCCTGCTGCAGCACGTCCAGCTCGTCACACATCTCGTGGATCTTCGCATGCTTCTCCCTGTCCCGCTGGAACCTCTTGCGGCCCTTGGGCACCCTGGACTCACCCTCGGGAATCACCAAGGGTACTGGAAGCACAGGTACACGGAGGAAGACCGATGCGGGACGAGACCGGATGAGGATGTTGAGGCCAATGTGGGGGCCCCACGGCAAATTCTGCACTGGCAACACCTGGGACAAGAAGGGTCGAAAGCTGTCGGGCACCACAGCATAGTCAATCATGCGTCCTTTTCCTGAAGTGCATGAGACCTCGACCCCCTCTGGGGTCACGGCGCGAGCCCGAAGTGCGTCCAACCAGCCCGACTTTGCCATCTCAGTAGGCGTGGCGTTGAAGTCTCCCACCAGCAACCATGGCACATCCAGTGACTTGACGACCCTGGCGATGTTGAGCATCTTCCTGGAATTGGTCCCAACCATTCCGATGGAGCAATCAAGATAGCAAACGATGAAGGCGAAGGTAACCCCATGAAACCTCCATAGCACAACTGTTGTATCCCGAAGGGCATCATGAAACACGCTCTTGCCAAGCGAGCCTGCTAGATGGGTGCTTGTGGCGTAGGTGGCCCTTCGGAGCCAGCACGTTCCCCCGTGCGTGCCTCTTTCAGACCTACCTGTAGCCGTAGCAGCTGTCCATGTCGCCTCGGGCCTCCAACCAAAACTGCGAAGGCGCCTCTCCTCACGCTGGCATTGCACTTGGGACAAGTGGTGTTCTGCCATCCCCATGAGGTCGTACGGCGCCGACTCTACGAACTTCTTCACCTTGGGGCTCCAGCTGGTGACGTTCCCGAAGAAGACCGAGACGCGATCCCGCTGGCCGAATGGTACTCTATCTGCATTGTGGTGGGATGAATTGTCACCCACCCGACGTCTTGCCAGCGCCAGCTGCGGCGGCAGTTGCAGCGCCTTCCGAGCTGCCCGAGCGAGCTGCCTCAGCCGCTGCAGCCCTGGCCTTGATGGCCGCCGTGCGCTGGATGTACGCCTCCACGTTCTTGACATCAGTAAAATCCTGGTTTGACTCAGCTGGCTTCTCGTCGTCATTGGCCCGCGCCTCGGCGCCAGCTGCAGGGGCCCCAGCAGCAACACCTGCGGCACCAGTGGCACGACGACGCTTGTGAGTGGCTGTCTCCCGCAACTCCCGTAGCGTCTTGGCCGCATCCTGCGCCTGCTGGCCGATGCTCTGCGCGTTCTTGTACACCTCCTGGGCCTGCTTGGCCCTGGCCAGCGCCGCCTCGTAGGCCGTCTGCTGCCCGGGCGTGAGGAGGGCGATGTCCTCGGGGTCCAGCTCGGGGAAGTTGAGGGACTCGTCGGTAGCAGCCGACTTGCCTCCATCTCCTGCACCCACGGCTGCTCCTCCAGCACCTCTGGCCGCAGATGTCTGGCTAGTGAGGCGGTTGACCTCAGCCTGCGTTTCGGCACACGCTCTGACGTTCTCTTCCAGCTTGCCGAGGAGCTCCTTCCCTGTCTTGGCGTTGGCCACGATCTGGTTCTTGAGCTTCTCTTGCTGGCACTGAAGACGGCGGAGACACGCTGCATGCTGTTCCAGTAGAACTTCTGGAGCCTTGGGAGGTACGGGTTTGAGCGCGTCCGCCAGCTCGGGGCAGACCATCTCCAGCGCCTTGATGGCGTCCTCCTCCTTGGCGTCCTTAGCAGACCTGTACTTTGGCAGCAGCTGCTCGAGGAGGGTGCTGCCTGTCTCTCCGTTCTCCAGTGCGAAGGTGACTTCCTTCTTGCTGGATGGCTTCGGCCAGGGTGCGTTGCACAATCGACAAGTTTCCCAGCCTGGGGTTCCAGCTCTGTTGCAATAAACCCAAGAGCGAGGACAATTGCGGCACACGTGATACGCCTGGCGGCGCTTCCCGTGGGTGGAAGGCGGTCTCGAGCCATCCCTGCTCCTCGCCCTCTCATTGCCGCTGCGTCCCATCAAACACTTCGACACTCGACTTTCGCCGCCTGCAGGCGCCCCTCAAGCCGCGGGAGCCCGTAGCGCGCACCTGGTCTGCACCCGAACTCGGTACGCGCGAGTGCCGTGCGGTCGTCGGGCCTCTCCCAAAAGGACCTCGGGCCGCAGAAGGCTTGAAGGAGGAGGAGGAGGAGGAGGAGGAGGAGGAGGAGGAGGAGGAGGAGAAGGAGGAGCAAGAGGATGAGGAGGAGGAGGAGGAGGCGGAGGATGAGGAAGACGAGGAGGAGGAGGAGGAGGAGGAGGAGGAGGACATGGAGGAGGAGGAGGACAAGGAGGAGAGGAAGGAGGTGAGGAGGAGGAGTGAGGAGGAGGAGTGAGCAGAGTAGGAGGAGGAGGAGAGGAGAGGGAGGAGGGAGGAGGGAGGAGGGAGGAGGGAGGAGGGAGGAGGGTGGAGGGTGGAGGGTGGAGGGTGGAGGAGGAGGAGGAGGAGGAGGAGGAGGAGGAGGAGGAGGAGGAGGAGGAGAGCCATGGATCTGGCGCCCGCGCGCCAGATCCACGGATCCCTAAGCCATGTCAGCGTGTGCCCGACTTCGGCTGCGCTGCCGCGCTTGTCCGCCGCCGCGCTGGGGTCGGGGAGCAAACATATGCATAAGCATTAGCTTCTTTCGGTCGCAAATCTCGGGAGCCTGGGTACGATTGGCGCCGATGAGCGTTTGGTAACCGATGAGATGGCGCTGACCTAGCGTCGGTTCGCGTCGGTTCGCACGAGCCAGCACGAGGAGGTGGAAGGCTCCCATGAGCTGCCCCCGAAACTTTTCGGAGCTCCGAGGAATCATGCTGATGGACCCTTGCCCCAAACAGTTCGTGCACTCACGGGCCCGTGCCTCCATCACCGAGGAGTCCGTTGGCTCCGCCGGGGTGCCGCCGCGTCGCCGCCGGGGGGGATCCGCCGAGGCTTCGCCGACACATCCGCCACCCCGTTCTTTGCTGGAAGCCGTGGCCTCTGTCTCTTGTCGGCATGCCGGCCAGCGCCGTTACGACAGGTATCTGGGCGCCCGAGATGGGCACGGAAGGAATGGTGGGGGTCCCGAACTGGGGTGGCAATTTGGTGGGAGTCTCGAAGTTAAAGTCAGTTCAGTGGCTTCCCTTCGGGGCTCATCCGTTAACATTGGAAGGATGCAGAGAAGATGAGCATGGCCCCTGCGCAGGGACGACACGCACGAATCGAGAAGTGGGGGTCTCGAAGGGGCTGGGGATTGGGATGGGGGTCGGTTAACCGATACTGGGACTTGAGCTAGCTCTCACTTGGCTGACAGCCTCTGCTTCGGACGCCCGAAATGGGCACGGAAAGAGTGGGTACAATGCCAAACAACAAATGTCGTCCCAAACCAACAGCGGCCGCTGTTGGGCAGGCGGCCCTCTGTCTTAAATGGACACAGGCCGCGGCGGCGTGGACAGCGAGTCCTGTTCAAGATGAACAGGAACTGCTGTTGGACATTGTACCCATTCTTTCCGTACCCATGTCGGGCGTCCAAAAGGTAGCGCAGAATTCACGTGGCGATTCACGGGGCTGTCAGCGATTGTTCCCTCACCGCCCACCAAGCCACCCCGACCCAACCCGAAAGCCCCGATCCATGCCCCGAAACCAGGGGGGGGGTCGGGGAACATGGAAATTATCCCAGTGCGACCCTACCTAGAAGTTGGAGCCCCTAGGAAAGCAGCGTTAGTTGCTATGCTATGCTATGCCATGCTATGCTGCGCTATGCTATGCCATGCTATGCTATGTTCAGCTATGCTATGTCATGTTGCGCTGTGCTATGCTAAGCTTTGCTATGCTACGCTATGCCATGCTATGCTAAGCTGCGCTATGCTATGCACTGCTATGTTATGCTATGCTATGCTAAGCCAAGCTAAGCTATGCTATGCCATACTGCGCTGTGCTATGCTAAGCTATGGTATGCGATGACATGATATGCTATGTTATGCTGCGCTATGCTATGCTATGCTATGCTATGAGGTGTTTGGCTATGTTATGCTATGCTGGGCTTTGCTATGATATGCTATGCTGCGCTATGCTATGCTACGCTATGCTATGCGATGCTGTGCTCTGCTATGCTGAAACTCAGCGAAACTAAGATGAAGGTCAGCTAAGCTAAGCTAAACCTGAGCTAAGATGACGCTAAGCTAAGATGACATAAGCTAAGCTAAGATGAGATAAGCAACGCTAAGCTAAGGGGACGTAACTGGGGGAACCGCGGGGCGGATACTGGGGGAACCGCCCGGGGCGCTTTCCACTGCCCGGCCCCTTTAAGCCCAGAGAGTAAGAACCCTTCTAGGCAGAGCCTAGGTAGGGAACACAAACACGTGTAAAACCCGTAGCCCCCCCCCACCCGCAATTCGGGCGAAGTTCGGGTCTTAGGGTTGGGTTGGGGTGGCTTGGTAGGTAGTCATTCAGGAGGGGAAAATCGCACAGACACAATGAATCGTCCATTCCCCAGGAAGATACGGGGAGATACGGGAAGTGGTGGCAAAAGCCCGGAAAGCATGGAACAACATATGGGACATCTTGGGATTCGTGTGTGTGTGTGTGTATGAATTTCTTTGTGTGTCCCTGGGCCCCATTCAGTCATTACCTCATCACTACCGCTGTCACAACCGAAAAAAGAACACATCCGCCGCCCCGCTTGGCGGAGCAGCGCCGCCGGGCCGCGGCAGAGCGCAGGGCGTGGCGCTCGCTGGCTCGTGCGCCACGCCCGTCGCGCGGAGCTGGCCGCCGCGGCCTCCTCTCGGGCGGCCCAGGCGCCGAGGCTAACCGATCCCCAGCCCCATGGTGGGCGTCCTCCTGATGAGGAGGGAGTGAGGAGGAGGAGGAGGAGGAGGAGGAGGAGGAGGAGGAGGAGGAGGAGGAGGAGGAGGAGGAGGAGGATAACTGGGATAACTCTTCAAGAGGGGGATGCGTCCGTGACGCACCCCCTCAGTGTACTATACGATTACACACAATCGTTAAAACCCTCTCGCTCCCCCCCCTCCACCTCCCCGCCGCCGTCGGAAGTCCTTGACGTTCGATCCGACGACGGGCAGTGGCGCTCTGCCGCCACCAGCGCCTTGGGGGATGGACCAGTCCTTGCCAGCCTTGGGGGGGAGACCTCGACTCAGACGGTTCAAATAGTTGCGTCCCGAATTGGTGCGCTTTTCGGGACAGAGGTTGACCAGCTCACGCAAGTGACCCCCACCCTGGACCACTGTCCCGAATCTAGCACACTTCCAGCACCACGCTAGTCCATTCTGCATAGCAATAGAGTGAGAGCTGTGGACGAATCGATCGCCCACTCTGAGGGTGTGCACACTGGTGGGGGGAACTCTGACATGGAGCCCCTGCTCACTGAGGGCTCGCTGGGCTAAATCTCCTGGGCACAAAAAAACCTGGAGCCACTCTTCTAAGGAAAAACGGCCTGGGGTCTGGCGGCACAGCTTGCAGGACCAAAGATCATTC